TCAAAAAAAATATATATATATATATACATATTTTCTGTATTCCATTTTTATATGAATGGAAAAATTATTAAACTCATTCAATTTATTCTCAGGTTGGAAATCCATAAAAACTCTTGAATAATTTCAACTGAAAAATCTTCATAGTCATATGTGCCTCAACAAAAACTCATCATGATAATTATTCACTGCCAATATTGATGAAGTTTTCGTTAATTTTGTATTTTTTTTATTTGTATAAACTGTATAATTACTGAAAATGAATGCAAACCATCAAATATATTTCAATGTGATTTCTAGACTTCAATGAGTTATTTGAAATGGAGGATTTTCTTAAGATTTCATTCATCGTTCTAAGTGAAATTTCATTAAAAAGTATTTTTGAATTTTTTCACAACAGATTTATATTTCGATTTCAAGGGATGATTTTCATTTACTACATTCAATCCCAATATCAACTTCAATGGAGCTGTGAGGACATCATGTATTTTTGAAAATAATTCATATGTCGAATTTAAAGACAGGAAACATTACAATCAGAAATAGAGATCAAATCGTGATGATGCATCTAAATAGTGAAACAAGCAGGTATCATACTCAAACTAATGAATGAAAATCGAAAACAGAAGAATTCTCATCACTCACAATCGTATTTGGTACAACAAAAATGGATAATTTGTAACCACCCCTTGATTGTAAACCTGCCATTTATACGTACCTATGCTAAATTGTAAATAAAGTATAAAAATCATAGATGCTTCTAACATATTTCTACATTCTATATACACAGTATTATTGTAAATAATTAAGTGTATTTTAAAATAATCATAATATGAAGTATTTAAAAACAGCTCATTTTGAAATTGTTAACAAATTTCAAAAGGGCTTTAAATGTGATGCAGATGATGGGTGTACGCCATGTCTATATAGGATACTTTTTATTGTTTTATTCTTGATGTATAAAGTTATTTGCTTTTGACTGTCGTGATAGAGTGATAAAATCATGCGTAAGATGATGAACTAACATTGCTGTCATAATTGTCAAGACCAATGTTTACATCTGGAAACGATTCTTGTTCCATTTTTCAACATGTTTACAAAATTGGAACAATCTCATTTCTCGCGTTTGACAAAACAACAGCGAATCGGTGAAAATACCAGGGTTTCCTGAAGTCTACATTGCTACATAGTCACAATTAGGTTGAGAAAGCCAAAAAATAGCATGCAAATTCTAATCAGTATCTCAAATGTCCTAGAGGAATCGTTGACAAAAAATGTTAGTTTTTCGTATCATCCATTGTCATTTTTAACCCCTTTGTATCTCAAAGATAGATAAGTGTATCTCTATTATCTTATAAGCTACATCATCGTGTACTACATGTTTTAGTCACTTTAAGTGTGCTGGAACTGAAAGTAATATTATAGTGCCCAAAATGGACTCTTTACTACACAGGAATTGGTTATGCAAGTGAGTAAAATACAGGATTGTGACATATAGGACTGAACAATATGTGAAAATAAACCATGTTTATATTGTAAAATTATTTGTTTCATTTTTCCATTCTGAAAAGTCTGTTGAAAAATTTTTTCCCAAAAAAACTGCCTCTCGACGCGCGTTTCACTTATCAAGTTATAATCATCAGGAGATAACTTAAACTACTATTTATGAACTTTATTGATGTTTTTATATTCATACAGAGGAATCATCGCCATTTATACTGAGTATTTTGTTGAAGTTAAACTTATTGAGAAGGAGATATAATAATAATAATAATAATCTTTATTCAATCCTTACAGATCACATACAGAATGATATAGAATACGTCACAAATAAAAAACCGTGTGATGACAGACAAATTTACAATCAACAATATTAAAATATCACTAGATATTTAATAGATTTAATATATCGGTCGGTAGCCAAGCAGTTCGATGTGGGTGGTTTTTTCACTCGCTCGAATTGACTGTCGTGTTGGTCGCTGGTTCAAGCCCTAGTCTGAACGATCGATTTTCACTTGCTATCGTCCGTGTTAGGAATCACACGTTAAAAGGTGAGACCTCGTTAATCTTTAGCTCGCACAAGTTTTGACTTCTGAGGGTTGTCGTTCGTAGGGGTGCGACACCTGGTTAACGGAAAAACATATTTTAAAACAGATTTTTAAACAGATGCTCATATACATGAAAACATTAATTACATTTAGATTCATACATATGAGCAAACATATTTTCATTTTGCATCAATGAACTCTTTGACACTATACCTAGTAACATTTTTTGTCTTGCAAACATACTTCCAATTTTGATTTGAAGAAGTTTTTAGTCCGTTGGTCTCTCAGGTTTGCGGAAAAATGATTGAAAAACTTTATACCTTATATGAGTGGCTTTTTTCATAGAATGATGAGCTGTGTGCAGCTGTGTGAGAAACTGTTTGATACCTCTCAACATGTTGCATAAATAACATTATACATTTGAAAACATAAATTCATTGAACTGTTAAAATTTTATATTTTTGAAAATATGTTCGACATAATTCATCTGGTTTTAGATCAAAAATGATTCGAATAATTCTTTTTTGGGAAACAAATAGACTGCTGAAGTTACTGGAGTATCCCCAGATATTGATGTTATAGGATATGTTGCAATAGATTAGAGCATAATATACAATTGGCATTGAACATATTTTTTAATTGCAATATAGCATAGTAACCTGTGTTCACTTTTTTGCTTATGGGCATCAATATTATTTTCCCAACTCATTACACTATCTATATAAGTTCCAAGGAATTTCATAACTTCAGAAAAATGGATGGTACTATTTTTGGTAACCACTTGAATATCAGTCACAGATCTCCACCTAGAATGAAAATGCATACAGACTGTTTTCCCAGCATTCACTATCGAAACATTTTTTTACACCAATTTATGAATTATTCTGCTAAATTATTTAATTTTTTTCGTAAGTCTACTGAATCAGAACTGATATAGTTAGGTAGATGGTTTATGAATAACAAGAAAATAAGCGACCCCACAAATTATGAGAAAACTATTATACGTTACCACTGATTTCGGCAGAAGATTTTAATGTTGATTTCGCGTTTGAAGATGGACACCTCTTGGTAAACTTTCTTCAAGATAAATAATTACTACAAATGACCAGTAACCGAAATGAGCATACCACAAGACATAGGACAACGATCGATGCAAATTTCTCTAGAATCTTCTAATTTTAATTCGAAAATATATGTATATAATTTCTCATACCATGAGCCATAGTCTTGGTCTTACAATCAACCGCAGTAATCACTGATCTATTCGATAATGAAAATAATAAATGAAAATGAAAAATATATTCAAAAATGTTAATCCATCAATGAAAACCCATAACATATTTAAATATAATGTTTACCCATTGGCGTCTTGGTCTCCACCATCACCCCCACCATCTTCTGGAATTATAAATGCGAGTGAACACGTAACTCGCCAGTCAGTTGTTTCTGTGACATCGAGGCATAACATTAGTCCTTGTAGTAAACGCATACACCACTGATGATGTCTGCCGCAGCAGCAGTTTGGTACCTCAGGCCTACCAGCCTAGATTTTGTTTTCTATAATCGTGAATGCCTGCATGGAAGCCTATGTTATTATTAGAAAAATAAAGTTTGTTTAGGAAACCTATGAACACAAGTTATTGAATCAAATCGCAGTGATTATTTGGAAACGTTCACAGTTTTACAAAAATGTTATAATTCATATGAATATGGTAAACGTGAAAAAAATTGAAATAATTTGATTATTTCAACAATATTATTTTATGTGATTCAATATAAAGGTCGAAAAACTACTATTAACCACTATGTCTTTGTGTTTCATGACCCTTAATATTGTAATTTCAATATATGTATTTTCACTTGTAAACACGAAATATGGGTTGTTTTTCAAAACTGTCACGATTTTCAACTAACGTCGGTAATATTCAAATTTCATTGGGTTTTTCAACCCAATATCAATTGCTAGTGACGGAGTAATGGAATAAACAGCCGATATTCAGCTTGAAATCATTGAAATCCAAAATCATATTCTCCTAGAATAGGTGTTCTCTGAGACATAGATGATTTTAAGGAATTTTGGAAATTGGTACCATAACCCACATGCGTTAACGCAAACTCATTTCCAAGACAGATTCTCTTTTAATGTATGGGTAGGCATGATTGGGGAATATTTAGTTGGCCCCTACTTTCTCCCCTTACGTTTTAATAGAGATGCTTACCTACATTTTTTGGAACACGAGCTTCCCCAACTTATGGTCTCCCATTGGTCTCCGAAATCACTCTTGGTTTATGCACGATAGAGCTCCTGCTCATTTAAGTGTGATAGCAAGAAATTTTTCAGACGTAGCATATCCCCAACGATGGATAGGAAAAGGAGGCACTGAGCATTGGCCCTTGAGGTCACCGGACCTCAATCCCGTCAATTTTCTTTTGGGGACACCTAAAATCATTAGTTTATGCTATCCCCATTGAAAACGCTACGCTTGCTACGAAGCGATAAGAAACACTCCGAGCATTTTTCAACGGTTGCGGAATTCTTTAATGAGGAGAGCAGAAGCTTGTCTTACTGTTGGGGGTCGTCACTTTGAACAGTTGTTGTAATAGTTGTTTCGTTCAATTTTTATATGTTTATTTTCCTAATGAATAACATAGTACTTCTCCGAATTGTACTTCTTTCTTATTGAATAATTAAACCTGACAATTTTTTTCAAATTTGGATTGATTAAGCAGTTCGATAATGCTCATTTTAGAAGAAGTCTGTACGGGTATACTGCTAATATACTGGTTATAGGAAAGAGTTGTTTATTTTGACGAGATCCACCACATACTTAGTTTTTGTAATGTTCTCAGCAACTTCACTTAGCGCCCTAGAAGCTAAGTAATATGCATCGATATAGAAAATTGTAAATATCTCGAAAACGATCACCTCCAGCGTTGTTGAGGAGGTGTACCTTTTTTAATTGGAAAAGGTGTGGGAAGTAGGTTTTTTCATGAAAGGTACCAAAAGTTCACTGTCAAAAAAATTAGGGTAATTTGAAATAAATAATGACAGCGTTCGCAGCGCCCTCTAGATGTTACATGAAAATTAATACGAAATTATGATTTCCCACGTCAAAAAAACCCGGGTACCGAATTTCGTGCAAATAACTTATTTTTTGCAAGAGTTATTTTTAAAAAGCGAACAAAAAAATTGAATTTCAACATTCTGTATCCCTGAAACGAAGCATTTTCGGACACAAGTTCATATAGAATGTTTTCCTTAAAATTGTCTCAGGAATACGTCACTTAAATATTTTAACGTACTTATTACACCTGTATATATCAGATTGGTCGTCAAACATTGAAACATTCGTAGCTCAAAAACCCCCATTGACATTTTGGTCATCAATTCAGTCAAAATACTTGTGGATTGAAGCTTATATGGCCAAAAATAGTTCTTTCTTAATTGTTTTCTACCATAATGACATTATAGATGTGGCCCTGGTCTAGGTAGATGTAGGAAGTAGGAATGGTAGCTTATGGATGTTGGTAGAAAGGGGCGATTGTTTCCTTTCAAAAAGGTCCTGCATCTGCTTAAGATGGCTCCGAGGTGCACAGTTCAATATGCTCAAACCGTGAAAAAAATCACAGCATCGCCAGGCCGAAGTGTTATTCGAGTTGCTCATAAATATACTGCAGGAATCATGATTTGCTCTCAATTTCAATTCAATTGAATATGATAATGAAAATCGTTTTTTGTAATCAAGAGATATATTTTTAACCTTTCAATAATTTTATTCGAACACATACATATCTTTCCATACAGATCCATATTAACCCATAATTCCTCATTATTATAACAAGTAGGTATACAATTTGAAAGGTACAAAATCTATAAACTACTGGTCACGAAAATATTATTTAGGTCTCTTCGCTATATGATTTCACAAATCTACCACGGCTTTTATGAGGAGATATTTCTCACGTCCCATGATCAGAACTGAAACCTTTAATGAATTATCTTTTTATAGTAATGATTTAAATCTCTGTATCGAAAAAATCACCAGTTTCAGCAAGAGAAATATGAAAGGTTCTGAAAAATATCGACGCAACGCTAGAAAGCAGTAATCAAAAACATAATATCTTTCCATCATTAGTTCCAGTTTGATCATGAAAACCTCACAACTGAAATAAATTATTACAAAATACATGTATTTATTAGTAAACACTTCTATAATGTAGCTCACTGTAATTATTATTTCACAGGCACAACATGTATTCATCAGTTACAATTATAATAAGGTAAAATGTAGTAACAGTGTTTTTCTTCAATCCCAAGAAAAATTCTAGTCGAACTCATACTTGAAATATCGTCTCCGGCATATACACTCGACTCATAAAAATACTGTTCTGGAAACACATCCAATATGTTTACCAAAAAAATTTTTCAAAACAATTTGAGTGCTAGGTTCAAAAGGAAAGTATGACTTTTTATTTATTATTTTTTGGTGAAATCTCAGAAATTAATTATGAAAGTAAGTTTTTGGGTAAATATTATTATTTTCAAATAAAACGTTCAATAGTTTTTACAAACAATTTTTTCTTGGAAAAAAACTTTCAGGCTTCCTACTTTCCAATTATCAAACAAAAAATGTGTTAACTTCGAAGGAACGAAGAATGAAAACTCTTCACAAAAATATGTGAAACATACACAGAAGTTACTTTAATACGCAAATTGGAAAAAAAAAACATTTAGAAACAGCAACTTTCACGTGAACACTGAATTACACGAAAGAAAAAGTCCTATCGAAACAAATGTTTTCATAGGAACATTGAATTCCTACATGAAAACAAGTTTTTTCCATTATGTTTGTAACATAATGGAATAAATGAACTAACAGTATGATTGTGTATACATACTGCCATTGTGAGAAGAGCAGATTTGCCTCTTCTGGTGAAAACAAAACCGAAAGGGATTTTTTCTCGAGTTTATATCTGAAAGAGACCTTTCTGTATGATCTACTCATTTTCATAAAAAGTTTCTATTGTGGTTATTTTTTTCCTTCTTTTGTAAGTTTCCCATATTTATAAACAGGCAATTTTTCAAAGTCCTTAAAAACAAATTCAAATTTGGTGTTTCTTCTTATTTTAGTTTATTCATATTGTTCAACACATCAACGGCCAATACTAGAAATGGGTGGAAATTTCTTGAAATACGGATTGAAAAATAAGCATATGCTTATTCAGTGCTTATTATGCTTATTATTGCAGCAATAAGCTTCAATACAAAATCAATTACATTGAAATCAATTTTTCTCAGTTAGTTTGTATACTATATCTTTCACAAAGTGGCTGTATGATGTAATTTATAAACAGGGAAGTCCTCAAGAACAACTTCAAATTTGATGTTTCTTCGAATTTTAGTTTGTTCTTATTGTTCAACACATTGACGGCCATTACTAGAAATGGGTGGAAATTTCTTGAAATAGGGATTGAAAAATGAGCATATGGTTGCGCACACGTATTATACTTAAGCTTGTAACAAGCTTTGATACAAGATCAATTACATTGAAATCAATTTTAGTTTATTCATATTGTTCAACCCATTAACGGTCAATACTAAAAATGGGTGGAAATTTCGTGAAACAGAGATTGAAAAATAAGCATATGGGTGGACACAAACGCACATATTGTAATTGAGCTCCTAACAAGCTTTCATACAAAACTTGTAACAAAACCTGTAACAAGCTTCAATACAAAACTTATCTTGTACATCTAGCTGGTATATTTGTCCTGAGGGGAAATGTTAACATTATCATTAGTACAATGAGAAAGACTGTTGAGAAGTATCAAGGTCATTAAAGTTTACAGTATTTAAAAAATCGAAAGATACTGGAAAAATATTATATGGAATGAAGTGTAACAAAATTTTTTCTATACTTTTCAATCTTTCTGAAAAATGTATTCATGAATTTGGAATTATACAACACGTTTTCATAATTGAAAAAACTTTATAAAAAGGCTGTTTTATAGCACTTTTGGCTGTAGAAAAAATTTTTCATTCAATACACATGGAAAATAAAAAAAAAAACATTTGCACGTCCGAGGAATCACGAGTACGAAAGTAGCACGCTGTCACTACGGGAGCAGTTTCGAAGTTTACTATTTACGAGTTTACCTATTCATGTACTTTTCTTAATTTTTTCACTACCACTATCGCTATAACCGCTAGTGCACACCGTTAACGTCATACAATTCACAACTGCTCAACAGTTTTGCTTTGCCAGTTGGATTTGTAAGAGGGATTCCATAATTCAGGTTAGTGAAGGAAGAAAGTTTTTTTCAAAGAGCATTATCTAAAAATCCTTTTTTTGGTAAGCAAATTACTATATATGCTGGAAAGTGATGAACATTTTTTCCTCAGCGTTATTTGAAATTATGAGGGAACTTATGCTTCAAACGTTACTAACGTAATGTAAAGCTATTCAATTTCCAATAGTTCGTACAACGATAAAATCTACAAAAAAACTCTTACAAGATTTAAGATTTTCCAATAGTTCCAGGTAGATATATTTTGATGCTTGATATCAGATGCCATATGACAGATTTTTCTTGGGATTTCCGATATATACGTACTGTAGATAAAATTCAAATATTTTGAAAACATAAAGTATCAGAAATTACTTCAGGCGGAGACGCGTCAAAAAGTATTTAGTATTTAGGGGTTTGTTGAAACATTATGGCAATCACCGTTTTCAACCTTTCTACATTTTTCTCAACCAGTGAAGACAAACCAACTGAAAGTCAAATTTTGGCTAAAAAACAAATAAACAATAACGAAACAATATACACCGCGTCTGTAATACTTAGCAAAAGTTATGTATGATAAATGTACCTTCTAGTTTCGGGAAGAGACAGATTTCTTTAATTAAGGTATTTTTTCAAACGCCGGTTCTGTGTCTCATACATTGGAGACTTATGACAAGACGAGAGTGTTCATATAAACACTATTCATAGGCGTGTTAGGAAAAGATGCATAGTCAGATATATTTGTCACGAAGCTGAAAACTGCTCTGAATGTAGATATGGACCAATCAATATCCCAGCTTTGAAATCGTGATTTTTGTCAATTCAGCGGAATAAGTTTTCTGGTGACCTCCGGCGCACGTGGGCGACTCTTGAAGAAAACGGTATGAGGAACGGGGAGACGAGGAATCCGTTTTTCCTTCCCGGCTTTTTGGAAGGAGAGAAGACAGAAGGTTCCGAGAAAGGAGTCTTGTGAAGGACACGAAGGGGCTAGTACAGGGGTGTCCTCCCTCAGCCTTCGAGGCTAAGGATAGTGGCCTTAATAGGGAAGTTATTTTGTTTCTAAGCGGGGGTGCCAAATTTAAGGACAATCAGTAGCGAAAGAAAGAATATATGAACCAGAAAGGAGCATTTATTATACAAGTGACGAGGATTTCTCGATTGAGGCATATAATTCCAGTGTTCAGACGATTTTTATTTGTGTTATTATTTTTATACGTTATTACACATCCTGGATGGTCAAGGCCAAGAAAGCTGGACTTAGAAAGTTTACCCTACTTGAATCAAGGCTACCTTGGTACAATAGAACCTTGAAGAGAATTGAAAGGGTTGCGTCTCTCACCTATAGATGTCCGTAGGAGTATCAGACACAAAAATAATATTCAAGTTCAAAATGAATGATTATTAGTCAGAGAAAAATGTCTGTTCCCACACACCAATGAAAGAAAAGAACGAAAAGAAATGAAATTGATTTTGAACTATCTATCAAGAAATAGATTGAAATCAGTGCAAACAAGTAACACAACATACAGGGTGTTGGCAGGATCAACCCAGATAATGAAAGTAAAGTCGCAGGAGCCATCCCAAAAACTATTCAGGAAGCTGATAATCCAGATGATCAAAAGATGCTAATAACTAATAAGTCAGTTATGAGACGTTTTTCAAACGATTATTCCTAAAATATGAACCAACTTCAAACAACAGAAAAGATAAAATCTAGAAATGAAAAACTTCACGTCATAATTAAAAGGGAAATTATGGAAATTCTTTTATTGTTTGAGGGACCTCTCATGATTGAAATAGCGAATAGCCTGTAACTTGTATAAAAAATGTTGTTTTAAGAATATTGTGTAATGGAAACCATTAAACAAAATTGCTCTACTATATACACAATTAAATCACTGGTACCTTAGTCATTTATTATACCCATCCCAAAAAATCTGAGCCAGTACATTCAAGAAGCTTTCAACAGCAGTTAAAATTCCATAATTTCAATATGCTTCGATAGAGGTGAATGACGATAGTCTTGAACATGGATTTCTCCAGTGGTAGAACAGCCAAGAGAACTTTATAATCAACTTCAAGTACCTTCGAAAATGGGTATTTTCATGAAAAAAAAAATTCAAATCATAATTGGGCAAAGATATTTATCCAGGCCGCTATCTTATGTTTTCCGCAAAATCCAATATTTGGTATGGTAATCGTTTATCACACTCAGAAAGTTTGTGATAATATGTGTAGAGTGGTGGCCAAAATATTTCAACAAATGCTGCTAGACTCCGAAAGCGACTGTTTCCTGAATAGTTTTCCATCTACGTAGTCCAAGAAATTAATGGGCCCAAAAAGGCATGTTCATTTTTACTCGATCCGCCACTAATAATAACAACTATCAAAATTTCTATGAATATATTGGAGTTTTCTGAAGTTATTGGTGTAGATTATCATTATTACAGTCAGTTGATGATTGTTTACATTTCATCTACATATTCCGCAAACCCTAACATTTTGTGAAAAGTCGAAGCCTAGTCAGTAAAACATCAATTCTTACTCAGTAAATAGATGTCTAGATTCATTCACGGTCGAATTCATATGAAATTGAAGCCGAAGCTGAATCATGGAAGTATTGTTTTTAATCACTGTAGTGAATACATTTATGAGAAGGCTTTATTTTTGGCACAAACAGAAGAAATTTGGTACGTGAAACTTGCACAGAGTGACGAAACTGTTGCTTTGTAGGTAATTGAAATTTCAAACAATATTTCATCTATTCCTATCACGTTCAACGAGCATAAACAAACGTGAATGAAAATCCACGATGAACATATTCAAAAACTATATTGTGAATAAAATCGTATGTCTTGTCGCAAACAAATAGTGAAACAAAAGTCATAAGTTCAGTTATTGGTTTCAGTCTCCACGCCACCAATTTTCTTTGTCATTTCCATACGATATTTTATGATCAATTCGCCTGCCAGTGTGCTGAAACTTTTATAAAGGTTCCGCCAGCCTCTGCATAGCAACATCCACCACATCGCCACATTTCATATTTCCTTCCAACAATGAAATTTGTATAGTTGGAATGGAATCGCCCAGGTGAGACGTCCTAGAACAACAAGAAGGAGACACGAGTTCTTCGCGAATCTCCCTTGTTGCGCCGGGACATCCCCATTTGTCATAAACTCTGATCTGGTCCGGTAGCTCCTCCGCCTTTGTTGTCACCACTTGCTCCGCCTCCGCTAGAAGAACTTCCGTCACCACCAGATCCTCTTCCTGTTCCGGATCCTGACCCACGAAATTCTAGTTTGTACTACAAAAGTTGAAAAATGGTTAGTACGATGTATAATGTTTTCACAACTTCTAAACAGTTATGTCTAATTTGATTTCATTGTGGAAAATGTGTGTAACAGACTCTCTCTTGTGAAAATTATTGTCACCTATCAGTCCTACAAATATGAAACCAGTGTTTAAATTTTGAATAAGTTTAAAATGATCATCTCACAATTGAAATATAGATTGTTAATAAAAGCAGAAAATACGCCAAAGGAGACAATACGAATATTTTTGGACCTCTCTTGAGCGATCTAACGAAGATAATAAGAGGAAATGATGTGGTATTTTAATATGTAGATGTAATCACTTGCATTCCTTCCCCTTGTAAAATATTTTGTTGAAAACTCCCGACAATGTGTCAAGATTAGAAAAATATTTCGAAAGTGGAAAAATGTTCATTCACATGCATTCCAAAATGCTCAGTGTCCATATTTCGTTTGTTTCTCCCGAAAAATGAATGAGAATACGCAGTATTCACAGAAACTAGAGAGAACCTGAAAGTCGGAAATTTTCTTTTGTCAACATGAAAAAGCAAATAATTGCTCGTATTTCAGTTCTAGTATGTCTATATTGAATGTATGAAAATTGATCTTCACTTCATTTTTTTCAATGACATACTACTTTGTGATAAATATGAGCCGAAGTGGAAAGTATTGTTTTTGTATATAAATTGATGTCTTTTTTCTAAATTCTTTAGAGTGAAGATCAATTTTTCTGTAAATCTATTCATATCTATGGGTTAGCATTTTTAGTACATGCAACTACTTCAAAATTCTTAGTTTAAAAGAATGATTTCTTCAATGAATCTACTAAAGAGGATAAAAATTTCATATCAGGCATAGATCATCAATGCAGTACATACCGATATAAAGAATGAGAAAACAATGTCAACAAGAATTATAATACTTATTATATGGATATAGTTATCCCTCGCGCGCTTCCTTAGCGAAAAGTGAATTATGCATAAGAAATGTGTATGGGAACAGACAGGAATGGCAGTTCGGTCAAGTATTCCAGAAACCGATGACATGCTTTCTCGATTGTGAAAATAAATCACTATTATAGGGGGTGTAATTAAATAAGTGTAAAACATTTGAAGAGGTGATTCCTCATCGAAAAAAAGATAGGATCTTTCATATAAAGAAATTTCATTGGAGCATCCCTTGTTAAGATACAGCCCCTTAGAGGGGGTACATAAAACTTTAATAACAATTTTTTCCACAAGCACTAAAAAAGTTACAATATTGAAATCAACCTGACGTTTTGTACTACCAAAAAGACACTCAGTCAGAAATTTATTTGGTTCACCCCATGGTTGTAAGGGGTGGAAAACGCAACCCCTAAAAGTTATTTCCAATGTAACTTTTTGTCTTATTATTTGTTTACCATTTAAAAATTTTTTTCCGATAGCCTGTTTCATTCTGAACAAAAAATGTCCTTCACATAGAATATTTACTCGACTTCATCAACGATTACAAGAATATGGTTCATTCGACAAAAGAACGCAGGATTGTGGTCGCCATCGAGAAGTACGAATACCACAGCTTGAGGAAGCAGCACTCAATTTGATTGAAAAACAACTTACTACCAGTACTAGAAAGATTGCTTTCCAGCTAAATGTTGATCATATGACGGTATTTCGAATTTTAAAGGAACAACTCTTATACCCTTACCATCTGCAACGAGTACTGACACTGTTACCGCGAGACTTTCCGAACCATCTTAAATTTTGCAATTGGATGCTGGAAATGATTAGAAGAAATTGTGACTTTCTGAAGACGATAGAATTCACAGACGAATGTAGTATTTCTCGGGACAAGATTATTATTTTTCATAATTACCACATATGGGCTGATACCTCACGCTATTGTCGAAACTTACCATCAAGAACAGTTTTCTCTTAACGTGTGACTCGGAGTTATTGGAGATGATTTAATTGGGCCTCATTTTCTACCTCCTCGTCTGAATGGTGAGGCATATGTTCAATTTTTAAGAAAAGTGCATCCAGTACTACTGGAGGAAGTTCCTTTGGGCGTCAAAAGGCATATGTTTTTTATGCATGATGGGGCTCTCGCCCATTTTAGTCAAGTAGCACGTCAGCATTTAGCTGAAACATATGCAAATCAGTGGATAGGTCGAAAAAAAAAATATTCACAATGATGTGTAGATCATGCAAAGAATTAACTTTCAGAAAATAACTGGAAGAAGAAACTCTCTCGAAACAGCAATTTTCATATAAAAATTGAATTACACGAAAAAAAATACTTTCGAATCAATTACTTTTATATGAATATACATTTGTACAAAGAACACTTTTTTTTCTATTCGGTTTGTATTTCAAACATTCGTTATGGAGTACAGCTATCGTTCACAGAATTGCTATGAAATAGTTAAAAATTTCACTTCCATGGAACACTGTCATCCTCAATGGTGGACATTGATGTTTCAGAAAAGACACCTGCCTTATTGCCTCTTCAGTAATACTATAGATAACATTACACAATGAAGCACTCAATTCTTTCATGGAAGAGCAATATCTGCCTTGATTTATCATATGCAGATATTGAATTCTGCCATTTTTTAGGTAAGGTTGGTATCCTTCAATAAAAGCATAATATATTATTATCATTATCGTAGTATGCGCTGGTCAGGCCATATCCCCCGAAGCCCTGATACATTTGGGAGGGCGCGCCAGCATTATCAACCAACAACCACTCCCCACATCGTGTGGTATGTGATCATTGGGTCCAAGAATCATGTGCCCTGAGCAAGCACAGTGAGCCAAGAATGACAGCCTTCTGCATCTGTCCGGCTAAGATTTCTGCCTAAGTGCGGCAAGCCGGTATGATTCAAGAGTAGAGAGGGCATCATTCCACCAAGGACTCCAATAATGAGAACGACTATCTTGACATAGTTGTCTGGAGTTCGAAGAGAAAATTTCGGTATTTTATCCGTTTTTCCTCTTTTTTTCTGACGATATTCGTCTCGCCAGGAGCTAAAAACTCCACGACAAATATCGTTTTGCTCTGGTGGTCAAGAAAGACTACATCAGGCTTATTAGCTTGCATGAGCATGAGGGTGGGGAACGAATAGTTCCAATAAATTCGGCACTTCTCGTTTCCCAGACAACGATTTCAATATCCCCCGGAGCGTAGGGCAACACCGGTGTCTCGGCAATACCGTAAGAGTGCCGTAGATGGTAATATAGCACTCTTGGGGCCGCGTTATGTCGATGAATATAGGCCGAGACCGCATATGCTAGACATGCATTAGGGTCTCGGGCGCCTCGCGGCAGTCCCTGCACCTTGTGTCAGGAACCTCTATATCCATCACGCGACTGCGGTAGACTAAGGTGTTGAACACACCATCCTGGCAAACGATGATGAACCCCTCAGTTTCCGACTTTATCCCACTCGACCTGAGGAAAGCGAAAATCAGGCGCTTTGATAAGTCAAAATCTTGAATGTTGTTGAAGAAGACCCATGCATTGGCTTATCCTTGTATTCCCACAGAAGTGAGGTGATCTCTGCGGCTTCAATCTAAGCTTTTTGCTGAAATTACAATGGAATAAAATGCAATACTTTTATTTTATTGTATTGTATTGTACGTCATTGTAATTTAAGTTTTTTTCTGGCTCAATATAATTGTTATTTCTCAGCTAATCTTTCTGATTCTTTACAGATTCTTGCAGGGACTTCAAATCAATTTATACCATATCAGACAATGGAAGTCCGAACTAATGAAATTAAATTTATTCTCTTTCATATATTATATTGTGTAGCAATTCTGAAAATGATATAAGTACTCCATAACGAATATTTGAAGTACAAACCCAATAGAAAGAAGTGTTTTTGTATAACTGAATACTCATATAAAAGTAGTTATTTGGAAGGATTTTTCTTTCGAGTAGTTAAAGGTTTATATGAAATTAGTTGTTTCGGAAGGGTTTTTGTTGTCAGTTTGTGTCTGAAAGTTATTTCTTTGTATGATTTACAGATCTTTGTGAAGAATTTATTTCGAAATTGAAAGCTTTCTTTCGTTCTTTGGAAGATTTCCACATTTTTTCGTATGAAGATGGAGAAGTAGGAAGCCGAAACCTTTCAGACCCCCTTTTTGTGAAAAAATATGTTGATGATATACTATGTGCAATTTCTCAAGGAATGGAAGATTTTACGTTATAAATTTTCTATAACTGTAATATGAATTTATAATTGAGAAAGAAGTGGATAGGATTGTTGTTTCTTAGACACTAAGAACAACAAATAATACTTTGCAATTGGATTGGTATAATTAACCATCTATTTCAGGAAAAATGAAGAATTCGAATATAGTACTTGCTAATAATACTCAAAAAAACAGTTAATAACTTCTTCACAGAATTGATAGACAAAACTGACATAGAAAAAACGGGCGTTGTGTATGGAATCAGTTATAATAACTATACAAAAAAGTATATTGAAAAAGACATGATTATGAATGACATTCATTCATGATTATATGGGCAAATGAATGTCATGACATACTATCATTACTGATTCGTGACATAAGGTCGTAATTTCATGGATGAATTGGCTGATCTATCTTGTAATATTATCCAGATTGATACTGAAGAGCCAATAAGGCAAATGTATTATTCCGAAACATCGATGTTCTCCATTGAGGGTGACAGTGTTCCGTGTATGTGAAATTCATCCTTTCTCATATATTTTATATACTTGTGTAGCAATCATGTTTATGAAATCTGATTCAATTCCATAACGAATGTTTGGAAGATTTCCAAATTTCTGTATGAAGATAGTGAAGTAGAAAGCCAAAACCTTTTCCACCCATAAATTGATCACTCAAAAAAATATACCCCTATCAATTTTTTTACATATGTTGATTGATATTATTCAAAATTATTGTCGCTTCTATTACTGTGCTGAATGAAATTATTAGCAATTACAAATGTGATTGTTACTTAAAAATTAGACGATGTTTAATAACCTTTCGTATTATTTTGTAAAGCAATTAACTTTACATAAAATATCATGATTTTTTACTACAAGAAAAAAATCAAATGTGACTGTTATAATTTCTTCTTTTTCAACCCGATTTCGTTGCATGTACTACTATGCGCGTAAGAAAATGACCACAACTTTTTCTGATCTACCTCACAAGCTAATACGATCACATTTACAAACTAGCACCACCAATATATAACCTGATTATAATCAGCTCCGTTTTTTATAGGAGTTGGTAGGTCGGAGTGGCCAATATTGTGCTGATAAAAAGATTAATAACCAATCAAAAAATAACTTCTGCAGCCAACAGCAATAGAAATGATGCTTCCTTTGCAGAAGATATGTTTGTCAAAAAAAACATTGAAGCAATCGCTATTCACGTTGAGAACAATGAGTTTAGTTGAGTTGTTATCAGGAAATGTTTTACTGTATTCACCTTGGAGTTGAGTTAAAGCATTCCTATAATGCTTTAACAGAATTGTTTTTGAAAAAATAATTTTTCTGTACTGTATTCACTCAATGAAACCGTTTACTAGTTACAATCAAATAATAAACTACAATATGTATTTCTTCATACCGTTGACTCATTGGTTCCAACATTTCTATTCAACAATAATTCGAAATTAACGCATTATTCTCAATATGTCAACTTCACTAGTGATAGAAAAGCTACTTAAGAAAAGTTTCAGCTCTTATTCAGTACTGCCAAGATATTTCATGCCTCGGTAGAAGTGATAAAGCTTGAATATTCAAAATAAATGAAACTTTCATTAAAACCATACTAACGCTGAATCCAAACAAGACTGATAACATCTAGCAAATATGGTCGTACCTAGATATTATTATTAACTTCATTTACTCACGAAAAAAATTCGTAATAATCTGTTTAAAAACATTTAATCAAAAAAATGTTTACAAATTGGTAGATATGCAATCGAGAAGCAAGTATTTGGCCAGTTTTCAGAGATCGTTATGTTGATATGAATCCCAAATTTCTTCGTATTAAGCACCTACTTGTCCGGCACAGCAAGGCGCTGTCCGTCGCCTAATATCGATGGGTAGTACGTAGAATCGCCTACTTGTGCAGCTACAACCAGTGCACTGAAGGTAGGTAGGTAGGTCTAAAGTGAGTGGGTCTATTCGACCCTCCACCGCAACCCATAAGGGTTTATTGTGGCTCACACCTATTAACACTCGGCCAAATAAACCCAGCTTCTTAACGAAGCCGATTAGTTTGTATGGTAAATGGTCTTTCAGGTCAGATGGTGAGAGTACGGATCTGCCAAACTAAATGAAGCTGTTTCGGTCCCCAGCTGGGCAGGCACAAAGTATATGCTCTGCTGTTTCATCATTTTCCAGACAGAGGCGACACACACTGTATTCCGATAGTCCAAGTCTCTGCATGTGATGATTCAAATGACAGTGACCTGAAGGAAGGCCTGTTAGACATCGTAGTTCATCCTTACTATAGTCCAACAACTGTTTGGAATCAAGCTTCGATGGGTGAATAAACGCCTTGGACTGAGTTAATCTTGGAAGATTCTACCAGAAAACTATAACTCTTCTTGCCATCCAGGTGTTCAGTGTTTGTTTGGCAAAGCCCAAAGCGATGCCAGTGACAGGGTCTGGTCCAATGAAGCCGCTTGCAGAACCCTCCTTTGCAAGAGAGTCAGCAGCTTCATCGCCTTCCAGGCCAGTATGGCCAGGAATCCAGACCAGAGACAATCCGTTAAGTCTTCCTATCGAGGAGATTCTTTTTTGGCAGTTTTCTACCAATTTGGACGTTGCTCGGTAGGAGCCAAGAGCTTCCAACGCCGCTTGACTATCCGAGAATATTTTTATTGACTTCTAAGTGAGGTTAGATTTATCCAATCTCTCCGCACACAATTCAATAGCGTAAATTTCCGCTTGAAATATAGTCGCATAAGTTCCTAGGCAGGTAGATGTGAACCAACAACTATCTACTCTTAATATTCCCGGAGGATCCAGTCCTCTGCGTACTGAAGGCGCTGTTTGTTCGATTTCAGGAGAATTTCAGTTGACTTCACTTCACTTGCAGTTCTGACGCATCATTATAGTGGCCGTATTATTGAATGTAGAAGAAAAAAGTCACAAAAAGGAATGTTGTGGGTCCATCCCATCAATCAAAAGAGGGCAAATTTGGGAGATTTTCATCATCTTTTCAACCACCTGAAAGAAGACGAGGAGTAATTTTCCAGTATTTCTGAATGACTCCAGGCAAATTTTCAGAACTTCTGAATATTCTAGAACCTGCCTTAGCAAGCAACTCCATTTTTCTTCGTCCATTTCCATAGGTACCGTTTGACACTGTGCTGTCAACTGATGAAATAGCAAAATAGAAAGACAGAAACTTCCCAGGCACGTTTGGACAAGTTGATGCCGGCCAGCGCCGGAACAAAAAAGAAGGATATGGGTCCATTCCATTAATCAAAAGAGGGCAAATCTGAGAGAGTTTCATCATCTTTTCAACGACCTGAAAGATGACAAGGAGAAATGTTTCCAGTATTTCTGGATATTTCTGGACTTCTAGATATTATAGAGCCTGTCTTAACAAGCAACTCAATTTTTACTCGTTCATTTCCATAGGTACCGTCTGATACCGTGCTGTCAACTGATGAAATAGCGAAACAGAGAAACAGAAACTTCCCAGACACCTTCGGACAAGTTGATGCTGGCAAGTGCTGGCCGGCGCGGCGACGCGCTCACTTGGCCAGTCCGTCATAGCACGTACCGTTATTTGCCGGACAGGATCAGAGAGTTGTAATCTTTTCCGGCGGCGGACGCTCTTGGCTGTGCCTTGCCGGCTATTGAGCAGTTGTCCATTCATTTTTATTGTTTCAATCCTATACGTTTTTTGACGGGACAGACCGGGCTGTGCCGGACAAGTGGGCGATAGGCTTGAAAGTTACAGTTGAAGTTTTGTAACTGAATGTGAGATTCAATATCGAGAAAATAGTAGAATTATGTTAAACACTTCCGGTTACTTCTGTATAACTTGATTCGGATTCAACGTCCAGTAGTGAATGTTATAGACTTGATAGTATATGAAATGAAGACATGGAAATTATATTTTTTGTCTTTTTGAAACGAATGATGATTCCAAGCCCAGAGTTAACTCTCCAAGAATTCAGTAAACTGCAATAGAAAATCTATGTTTCGAATTTAACTGAAGTCAATGAATATAATATTAATGATTAATTTCATACTAGTTAGTATGATTTGTTAGGTACTTGTGAGGTACTTGGAAAAACTACTACTAATTAGAACAAATGAATTAAACTTAAAAAATTAATCTTCTTTTCATACTCCAAACACACATCTTAGAATTTCATTATATTCAAGATCGTCTCAGACTGTGGATATTTTGTTTTGCTGAAAAAATATACCTCAACGGAATGTCAGATGATAAACCTATTTTGAAATACTCATCAACACAAGACTATGCATGAAACATAAAATATAAATAAGAATAATTTTGTTAGATGGGGATCTCTTATTGACCATACTTTGTTGAGAATTACATATGTACAAGTACCTCACTGTGTTAGTTTTGAGTCATTCTGTTTACCGTAAAACTATCTCGGAAGAGTAGAACTCTGGAATTTCATTAACCTGTGCAGAGCCTGTGGACTTAGTTGACCTGGTAGTGGTCTATCATCTAAAGTTGCACATGGAATTCTAATTCTTTGGGGTAATTCTATAGTGAACTAGATCAAGTGAACATTCCATTAAAAATTGCAGAGTGAAAATTCTAAATGATGTGCTAAAAGTTTGATACTCACTTTTGTCGCACATTCAAAACAGGTAGTGACAACTTTTGAAATAACATCCATGAGGTTTTTAGTTTCCTGTATCACATTGTCTACTTTAGTGAAGGTAGCTGCTTTTCCTACGGTGTGGTCCTTTACTGTGAATTGCAGTCGTTGGACAAAAGTTGGTACTTTGTCAAGATTTGCTAGTAATTCTTTCTTGGTAATACCTCCAGGAACCTAGTGAATTCGAAAAAAAATAGAATTATAACAATTGTAACAACAGGAATTCTCACCTGGTAGCTGAATTGTCTAATCACTTTGTACAGTCTGTTTGCTTCTTCTGCAAAATATTCCGCTTGTGTAAATAGATCCTGAGTAGTTTTCAATTCCCCTTCACCCTTAGTGAACTGATACATTGAAAAAGCCATAGCTGACATATTTTTCGCTCTCTTGACGATGTCGTTATTTTCCTGAAATAGAAGAATTATTTTGAATAAGTAACGCCCTCTCACAGAACTATGTGATACATTGAAAATATAGGAAAAGGTTGAACATTCAATTAGTGGTTGCCATTACAAGAGTCAGAAGCAGAATAGAAGCGGGTCCTCAATCATTTCTGCTGTAATAACAGAAGTCAAAAAACTAGATAACACAATTTTAGTGAATTATATCAATCCAAACATGTATCAGTCTCCGTCATTCCATCTTTCCATATGCGATGAAACTGGCCAATACTTGATGAAAATCAATTGTAACATATTCAAATAACACTCTTCTGTGAGATTTTCACTCAAAAATTCTCAAAAACATCGACACGTGTTCACCATACAGCTGCTGCACGCATGTTCAATACTAACTGTCTTTTATGTTTACTGAAACCCATTATCAAACAAGAAATATATTTTCATGTTGAGTTTTTCAAATATCTCAGAGATAAATGGATTGAGCTACATTAAACATCTCGAACCTGTTCTTGATAAAACACAAGCAGCAGATATTTATGATTTTGAAAGGTGAGTTGCGAAAATACCAAAGAGGAAATCGTTTGATTTTTTATTATTATTTTAAAATTCATTTTTCACATATTAAAAGATGGGGCAAATTAGGGGAATCAACAAAAAAAAATCAAATTATTTTCCCTGTTACGCAAATTTTTGAATCCCCATTAATTCTCTGATTTTCTAACGTAGTTTTTCTAAAAAGTGCTGCTAAGTTGAACCACAAAATTGAAAATATTTCTTTAAGCTGCCTTTTTTTGAAAATAAAAGTGACATATTGTATTGTTCATATTATTTTCTGTACCTGAAAATACTGGTATCGCTTCTATACACAAAAATTATTATCACTTATAGGCATTTCTTGGATCTGATACGTTCATTATATCGTTGTTTGTGCTATATATATATACATAACTTTTTGGTTTTTTCAATTCCATATGTGACCAAAACGTCACCAAGTGTCCATTGACTTTTTTGGGTTCTTTAAGTTTTGTTGATATAGTTTGAAATTGAGGGTTATCAGTGCATTTTTCTATCATAAACACCACAAGATAAAGATAAATTCATACAATCAATAAGAGAAATATTGCGAAAAATACTTTCCATTTAGCAGATTTCCATTTACAAACTCTGCGATTTGTATTTAGGTGGTTCCCTAACACTTACTGGATAATTCACACAAAATAAAATGAGTTGGTAGTCGAAGCAATCCTCAACGGTCACTTACGAATGATAAAACTAGTGAAAGTCACGGCTTCTCGGCTTCGATCATCATTGTTGGAAAAATCGGGTATCTGGTAAATATGGAATCACATTTTTCAGAAGGCATATGCTGACAGAAGTTAAAGCTCAATAAAAAGTTATTAGTTTTTCCGACACCTGAATTTACTTATTGATAAAAAAAATGGAATGAGATTTGAATATTGATTTTTTCATAATTTATATATTTATAGTACAAATTAAAATGGTGACAATCCGAAATTCAAACTGTATAACTATAATTGACCCCCAGAAATGATAAACAATGTTAAAAGCCTGTGTCAATAAATTTCGGCATTGCCGAATGTGATGATTCGTTAGTACATATAATTTTTGTAATATTCTCTCTCCCTCATTTATATATATTTTGGTAAATGTCTTCGTTATTTATCAACCCATTTTCAACAATTTTTTGGTTACATTCGGTATGAACAATTTGAGAAGTCAAGTTCACAAAATCTTACATAAATTTGTGTGCGCTTATCGCCATCTGTGCTAAGAATTTAACATTCTTTGTTTATCTTCTCCATTTCTTTATGAAAGTTTTTTTTTCAAAATTTGATGACTAAAGTTTTCAAGAAGTTACAACAGGTTTTCATAATATTTGGTTTGATGACGTCAACCAAAGCTTGCTTGCTAATAGACATGACTGTAATCATTTCATAATCGTAAAGTATTTCATTCTATCTGAAGCGCAAAATAGAGATGTCTCTCCCAAACTGCAAAATGGGAAGTGACGGTAAAATTTTCGTTGACAATTCGAAGCACAGAAAATGTTGTTATATATTTGTAAAGTGAGCCAATTAATTTACTCATGAGTTGACCAATTAGGAGTATGTGAATGTACAAAAATCCTAAATCAAAATTTTTAAAAGAATCATCATTTTCAGTCATGCCTAAAAAGACTTTTATATATTAAATTTTTCAAAGTTTATGAAAATCAATGATTTTTTTCAACACGTACTTCCAACTCAGCGTTACTGTTATTTTCTTGCCACTTTTCTGTTTCTGCATCCATTTCACTTGTGATGAGCTTCATCTCTAAACCAGACTTGGCAATTTTTTCCTGTTCCTCAGTGTCCAATCTCACAGATTTCAGGGGTTTGGAAGTGGTGCCATGTTTCTGAAAATAACAATTTCAATGATCTATCGATAGGACGAATTTTATAATAAAAAAAAGTGTATAGTAATTTATTGTTTGTTTTTAATCTCAATGACTTTAATAAATTAGACAATGGGGTGTTTTTACTTTATACTGATATTTGAAATCGGTGTTCAATCCAAAAAGTATCTAGGGGTTTTTTGAATCACATATTATATATGTAATTTCAGAGAATACAAAAACAGGCTTAGAATTTGAATTTTTCAATAAATCTTTCTGGGAATATTCACCATCTGCAAAAATTAAAATTTCTTTTAGAAAACTTTCATTTTTATAAGCAAAATTATAAAATATGACAGGTTTTCGATAGAAAGCGCAATTTTCTTCATGAATGATACATAGAACTCATGCGTTATCTTATCAGAATGAACTAGAAGTTTCCCTTTCCACATCTGTTTTCCATTGAAATTTGTTTTTGCTTTTATGTTTTGTGGAAAGTTATAATTCCCATAAAAATTCATGAAAAACGACTACCTATATTCCGATATGACAATGATATGGTTTCAAAATCAAACCTCGAAATTTTACATTGATAATACGAAAATATTGATGAGGGGTATGTATCTTCCCTACAGTGATTATTATTTCTGAAACATTGATATTTTTTAATTTGACATCAACTCCAAAACGATGTATTCACTTTAAGGATATTTGTGATTATATCTTCAAAGTATTTATACTGAGTTATAGCACATTAGCATCTTGTTGAAAAATCACTTTTGATGACCATCTGATATGATTTTAGTGTAAAGATTGAGGAACGTTCATAAAAAATCAGTTTTTTTAAGGAGAAGCACTACAGGGAAATCCTCAAGTCTCTTCAGTAAGGGACTTCTCAAATTTTCATTTACTCACTTCAGTCAAATAAATTTGATTATTCAAAAAACTGAATAATTGAATTTTAATAGTTTCAACCATAACAATCCAATGGTGGGTTTATTTCCTTCCAACCAACACAACTAATCGTGTCCCTCCCTACATTGCACATTAGTGATCTACTTTTGTTTGTTTCCTCAAACTCCTTTCTTCTAATGGAGGCAATTTATTTTGTTGTTTGTTGTTTTCAAAGTTTTGTTCTTTTCACTGTCGTGTTTTTGTATTTCCATATTCTACTGTATCGTGGTACTGATCAATAGAGTATTTTGTAGTCTATACATCGATGCTGTTCATTTTTCTACAAATTTTAATTGGTTGCCCCTTCTCTGCTTATTTGGTGTCTCCAAACAATTTATGGCCATTTTTTCTCTATGAATTCAAATTGAACCAAAGAGCTGCCGAAACAGCCCTAAACATTAACCCGGCATTCGGCAATGACAGTGACACCTAGAAATTTATCTCAGTGGCGAGTCGATTCTATTGGCTAGTTTACTGAAATGGTCAAGAAATCGGTATTGAAATCAAAATGTCATGATGAAAAAACCCAGTGTTCTATTTGTAATTGAATGAAGCTATAGAAAATAAAATTGATAGGTCATGAATGTGAGCAAGGCATTATCAATGAATAAAGAGCATGAGAAAATTGAAATGGATTCAGGAATGGATTCAGGAGCAGGAAGTGATGAAGACTGGAGAGCCAGGACAAAAAAAACAAAAGCAACTACATAACCAACAACTACTTAGTGGTTGCTTCATCGATGCTGCCAGTTTATCTGATGATGTTGATGCTGCAGATCAGAGACGATCCGATGAGCGACGACAGCGAGCTTTGTTATTTCAGACCGCTGTACCCCATTTTTCTATATTACAAGTGTCAAAATCACATCACGAGGATCATCATTTTTCTAGCTCATCAGGCAATTTATCTCACTTCGCAGAAACAAACACACCTGTCAATTCTATTGTTCAGCTTGATACCGAGGCATCAGAAACGTCTAGGAAAACACCACTTGGATTCTATGTTGATCTTAGCAATGTTTCTGATATCCCTTCTTTGCCCCCATCGGCATCTGCTACCAAAAATATATTTTCGATGGTGCTTGATTTTGAGGATCCAATAAAAGATAAACTTGTCAAACTCAGCTCTTCTTTGACTTCTTACAGAAGAAACAAGCCACTCAATAAGACAAATCTACTGCCAAAAAGTAATGCAAGCCTCTCTTCAAGCATCAGCTCTATAAATTCTAGCTGTGTAGCTGGTACCAGTAGACAGTCAAGTGAAAGTTACAGTGCGGTACGAAAAGTGATCTAGTAAAGCGATAGACATTCCAATAATAGTTGAAGTTTTAGTTGAAGTGTTTGTTGTATTTGGAGTAAAATAAAATTAAGTTTGATTATTCAGTCAATTTTTGACAATGTACGGGGAAAAACGTAACATTTATGCACTTTTCGGTGTTGATATGCGAAATTTCGTTCCGGAGATTTTAGTTTCAATGATGAGCTTCAAAGTGGTTGACCTACAGAAATCCAGGACGAGGATTTGAGGACCCTGGTGGAAACTGACCCATCACAAACAATGCGTGGGATTGAGGATGTTCTGGGCCTAAGCTCCCATGCGGTTTTCGTTCAAAACGTATTGGAAAACTCAAAAATATCAAATAGTGACCGATCGACATAAATTGTCACGGTTCGAAGTCTGTTCTCCTTTGCTTTTGCGCAACCAATCCTTTTTGTTTCCAGATCGTCAAGTGTGATGAAAAGTAGATCCTCTGTGACAACAGGATACGTTCAGAACAGTGGTTGGACACCGAAGAGCGACCCAGGCATTTCCAAAGGGCGAAAACCCACAAAAAAAGCCACGTTACTGTATGGTGGTCAAGGGCTAGTGTGATCCACAATAACTTTCTGCAACTGGCCAAACAATCACAGCAGAGTCCTACTGTGAGAAAAACGACAAAACGTACCGAAAATTGCGTTGGCAGCAGCCGGTGAATCGAAGAGGCCCGATCCTGCTCCACGAAAACGCCCGAATGTACGTTTCACAAATCATCGTCTGAAAATTAAACGAATCAAGCGTTGAAGTTGACCCACCATACTCCCCAGACCTCTCTCCAACCGACTATCATCTTTTCAAGCACTTCGATAACTTTCTCACCGGTAGAATCTGCTAGGCTGAACCATGAAATCAATGCTGGACTCAACTGTCCTTACGAAATAAGCCTTAGAAAATAACAGCGATGCAACCTTTCATTAGGAAGACATCATCTATGGAAAAGGCAGAGAACTCAATCCTCGAATATCAAGGATAAACAAGGCGGTCAGTTGCAAAACTAAGCTTAGGCTGCTTCCGTCGACGATCTTCGTCATGTTTTTCACTACACTTTTCACTCCAAGGCAACTAGGTGAAAGCCATAGCCCAAACAATAGAATAGCTTCCTCAATCAATTATATGTCAGATATGTCTGATATCATATAAGCTAACCAGGAGATAAACTATAGAAATGTCAATACATAGATATGTATTTCATGTATCTGTTTTTTTGGAACCTACAATTTGCGAGATTAAATATAATTAAAAATTGATCATATACTAAAATACTTACACCGGGTCTTGGAAGAGACATGTAGACTTGCTTTTCAGGTTTAGATTGACTTGCATCTAGAACATCTTTGACAATGGTAGTCACATCTGACACTAGCCATTGGTACATATCGGCGAAAACTTCCAAGTTTTCTTGAGCTATTTTACTGCCAGGATAGGAGGCCAGTGATTTAGCAGCAGTTATTACTTGAGGACCATAGACTCTCAAATTGATTTCCGTGAATTTTGCAGATACTTGAAGTGTTTCTGAGACTGCCACATGTCGTAATAATTTACATACCTGTGAATGAAAATCACCATATTAGAAAATCACATAAATTAAAAGTTACTTACTCACTGTGAAATGTGCTAGTCCATCATCCAGGAGCGACTAGAACACATCACTCGTGGAAATCTAATTTTGTGACAATAAATAGCATATGTAGTTGAGCTATGCTAACTTGCTATCATTACTGCTATTACTAAAGGGCTATATCATCATATTTCACTAACAATATTTTATAGATATTGCAACGATTTGATAAAATAAATAAAATAATAAATTTTGAGCATATATTTTCAATGCGAGAAGTCAACATTAGACTTCCTGATGGAATAATAATATCGTTTATTATGCATAAAAATACATTTATACATAAAAGGAAAAGGGGTAGCCAAAGGCTATCTTCCACCCCTCCCAAAAATTATACAGTGAGTATAAGAAAATAATTATAAACATACTTATTTACTATCATAACAATGACAGAGAAGAGAAAAAAAATAATACTTCATATAGTTGCTAATAACTGTTCATTGCACTACCATACAATGAATTTTAAATTTCTCAAATTAGCACTGAGCAGTAAGCATCTGTGATTTTATCAACCATATGTATGTCAGAATGCCTGCTCAATAAACTACTATATAAATAACTAGGTGTTTTAGTTTGAGTTTTAGTTTGAAGCAACTTAAACAAAAACATTTTTATCAAATATTGGACGAATCATATGCAAGCATTTTGTATATGTTGTAACTTCTATTTGTTATATTGCGGCAAAAAATTGTAATACACCGAACAACAATACTCGATATGGGGGTAAATAAGAGTTTCAACTAACCTGAGTTTCATTTCTCCTGATAGCTGATACTTGAATTTATATAGCGATTTGAGTTTGAAGAATGATACTTTGAAAATGTGTGTCACATGTTCATGGAAAGACAAAGAGCTATCTATGGTTGCGCCAAGATTTTTAGCAATGTCTACCCAGTCAATGTCTGCGTTATCGAGAGTGAGCCTAAAGTTATACTGAGTTTCTACTATTTGTCTTTGAGACCCTATGCATAAGGCCAAAGTTTTATTTGGATTGATATTCAGTCCATGATTCTCCGAGTATAGGAATGTTTTGTGCAATTCTGTGTTTATATTGGCCACGCAACTTTCTGTATCGGTGTTTTGAGAAGACAAATATAACTGTATATCATCTGCGTATAGATGTACTTGACAATGTGATAAGAAAGTGGGAGATTGTTTTTTTTAGGTTTCAGTTTGACCCTCTGTGATGGGCCTGTGAGATAGCTTGTGATCCATTTAAGAGAAATGTCATCGAATTCTATGAACTTGAGCTTGCTGATAAGTAAATCGAAATGAACTAAATCGAAAGCTTTACTTTGATCAAGCAGTACTAAAATGGTGACTTTTGATTGATCTCTGAATCTCGCAAGATCGTAGATTACTTTCAAGAGAGCAGTCTGTGTTCCATGTTTTTTGCGAAACCCAGACTGCTCCTACGAGAGTATTCGATTTTCTTCAAGAAAAGCTCTCATTTGACGAGAAATATTTTTCTGGAATATTTTAGAGAATGAGGACAGAATGCTGATAGGGTGTAGGTCACTGAACGTGGTAGGTGCATTATTTTTCGGAATTGGAATTATATTAGCAACCTTCCAAACATCTGGAAAAATACTCTGTCTGAAGGACTCGTTGAAAATGTGTTTAACTTCATCAATGCAGTGTGGTATCACTAAAGAAATCATCTTGATATTTATATTGTCAATACCTAAAGCATTAAATTTCATTTCTTTAATAGCAGTCAAAATATCATCATCACATATATCGGTGAGGAAAAAGTTCATAGGAGCGTTCAATTCATTATTATTGTAGAAATTATTATTGTAGAATATGTAAACGAAGCTGACACATTTGCACATATTCGTGACTATCGACTTACAGTACAAGCCACAGCTGAGTGGAGCTGATTTAGAGTGTTGGACTTACAACTTACCTCCAGAATATGATCCAATGAATCAAGGAAGGCATTGGAGGAGTCACCAAAGTATTTTTTCAGCACAATGTGATTCGCTGTTTTTCTGATTATCGATTTATCCTTCTAGATGATCGTTATAGAAACTTAATTGCCATAATAAGAAGCTAAACTCGTCTAAAGTTCAGATCATCTCTTGATGACGCAAAATCTGAAAAAAGTGTTAGAGTTCTAGTGTTTAACTTTTTTTATTATTACCATTCTTTAATTATATGAGACATTTATTCATAAACCTGAGATACTGTGAAATAATATTAGGTTCAAGTCTGAAAAATACTTACAATATTAGCGTAAAGTCCTAAAAGATGATCCAGTTCAGATTTTAATCTTTCACTACATTCTATAATAGCTTCTCTATGTTCATGACTAGTATAGGCACTATCAGTGAAATCCTGAGTTCTTTCTAAAACAGCCTCTAGAGCAGTCGGAAGCGTCTCTTGAGAGGAAGGATCTGATAAAATAACATAAAATAGCAAATAAATTTTCATTTATAAGCGTAGTTTTACTCAATACAGATATAAAGTTATGAATTGTTGGCAGCCTTGAGAACTGAGGTGCTAATTACATGTTCCGGGGATCGAAGGGAATTTTCAATTATAAATGCATTGTTCATGGTTTACTCATGTCAGTTGTTGAATAATAATTGATGAAGCTGTCGAACTTAAGGCTTCATGAAAGTTCACACGATGATGAAAGTGGAAACGAGGATTTTGAATAAGAACCAGTCAAAATGAAAACTATCAAGCCTGATCAGCTCCAGAAAATCATTCTTGAATTTCTAGAAACCCAGCAGGATCAAACTTATTATCAGCAACCACGGTCAATCAAGCAGCAGCAATGTATCAAAGTTAGTTTACTGAAGATGGACAGAAACTTATAGTTTCAGCAAAAGTCAGATTACACATAAGGAAGTTGAACACGCAGGTTCATCAACAATGTTAATCTCATTCGACCGCAAAAACCAAAAGCAATCAATTCCAAAGATATATCATATCATATCAATGAGATGTATGGAAAAAGTTTTCAATTTTCAACATCTGTTACCAGTGTATTGGTGAAAATTTCGTTGCATATCCTGCCAAGGTTAAAAAAAATTGTAAAAACATTTCGACATCCAAAACATCTAGGCAGGTCAATTTGAATGTTAGGTCTTTATATGAGGTCTTCAATCTTGTAGTGATACAAATGTCAGAACTGAACTTCTATTCGAAATTGATGGAAAATATTTGTACTTCAAAATTTCATTTTCTCATGTGAACATATACTGAATCATAAGTGATACAGTGATGATAGAGCAGTTTACAACATCAGACAGTGATGCAGCTTCTCAAAAGGATAGGTTTCCATCAAGAAAATGAAGTCAAAATCTCAATCTAGTTCTGACATGAATACAATCTTACAGAAAACACAATGCGGATACTGTGGTCACATGCATTATTTGACGAACTGTGGTTTGCAACCACGTATATATTAGTTGCAGAAAATAGGCCACGATACTGCATCATCAAATCATCATGAACTGATTAAACAAAATACAAATGAAAAATAATTTGGTTTCTCAGGTAAAATTATTTCGTGAACGTTATTGATGTCATTAACGTCATTATCGAACTTTATGTAGATACAGAATCAGAGACACCATATCAGAGGAAATATATCCCAAATTAGAAAAACCGAAAACATTTTCAAAATTGCAAGTAATCAACGATTTGAACTAATCTTCGAGTTTGATTGTGATATCGTATTCAGAAATCAAAGTCAGGGATAGAGCTTCATACAGTGAATTTCTTTAATATTCCCCTCTTTTATTTTTTGAACGGGTCAGCTCACAAAATCGACATTTGGGATGATGAAATTAATGCATGAATACTTTATTTTGAAGTAAAATTGACAAATTAAACTTTCAAGATGGCGACTGGGCGCCATCTGGGTGAAAAAATGAAAAAGGAGTCTTGTTACACATCATTTTGAAGCTCCTGACAACCCTAGAATATGAAATCAATATCTTCACCTACAACAAAAAGGCGGAACATTTAATAATTTCCTGAAAACAAACACATTAATATCGATATTTCTAGAAATATTTCTTTTTATCTGCCGTTTGGCAATTCCAACAACCCGATAAGGTTTGTTAAGTTATTTTTTGTTAATAAAAACGACAAGAAATGTCAGTATGACAATGAACATCATTGTTCAGTTAGAATATTCTCATTTTTTTTCGATTTTCCCAATATCCAGAAAAAATTAACATTTGGACAAGAATATTGGGAAACCATATTATGGGACCTCTATTTATTCAACAGGGGAACTGTATTTGAATATGATGGAAACTACTGTTTACCATCTCATCACTGAAATCGTCGAAGCGAGTCCTAATGAATTCGATATGGATATTGTATTCCAACAAGATGGAGCAACACCAGATTACTCCAGACAAGTAAGAGACTGATGGAATACTAGTTTTCCCAGCCGTTGGATTTGGCCATCGAGGTCCTACAGAATGGCCAGCCCGCTCGCCAAATTTCACACCTTTGGACTTTTTTCATGAGGCTATTTGAAGCAAAAGGTGTAAGAAACTGAACCTGCTTCAATATTGGATGTACGGCAGAGAATAATAAATATTTATAGAGATATTGACGTTACTGTAATTGAAAATGTTTGGCGTGAGATATCGGAGAGGCTGTTCATATGTCAAAAATTCCAAGGCAACCATTTCGAGCATCTTCTGAACTGACCCCAAGCTTATTAGCAGTAGGTGAAGATATTGACTCCATATTCTAGGGTTGTGAGGTATTCATCTTTTTCAGATGGCCCAGTCGCCATCTTGAAAGTTTCATCTGTCAATTTCACTTCAAAATAAATTATTCATGCACTAATTTCATTATCCCAAATTTCAATTTTTTGAGTTGACTCGTTCAAAAATTAAAAGGGGGGGGCATTAAGAAAAGCACTGTATAAATGAGTTTGGTATGAGGGACATGGGACATTCCACTCAGTTCTGATTGTAATACCATGTCAAGGTCAGATGATATTTTTATCAGAAAGTACAGGATGCCCAACAACTTGTTCAACAATTTCCTGAATTTTTTCAATGACACCCTCAGTTTTCACACAAAAATAAAGTTATAACTATCTCGTCTAAAACGAGAGATAGCACACGAATGTTATTCCGAATTGACACAATGGGGACACCATCTATTGTAAATAATGTGTGGAAAGGTGACGCACGAATTTTTTATGCTATATACTTTTTGGGAGCTGATTAACTGGTCCATTTCTTCAGGGTCTCCGAAAAACAGAGCAGTTTCATGGACTTGAAGGTGTTTTTCACAAATTTTTACTAGAGAATCCTCATGAACCAGTACGAGTACACGTCAACCCTTTCAGGATACATCGCTTGACATTTTGATAGACTCTTTCGATACCAAGGTTATCAGGTTATCTTGAATGAAGATAATCAACTGACTCAACAAGAAAAAAAAAGCTACGAAAAATATCACATTCCTCAATGCCGACCTAGCCGAACTAGGACACTTCCGAAATAGCTTGAAATTTTTCAATGAAAGTGAGGTTCTGAAAACTATGTCTCGACGATCGAAGATATTTTCAATAATAAAAATATTGTTTATTTCTTTCTCATGTCAGTCATTAAATGAGAATTTACAAAGTTGACAAATCCATTAAAGTCCTAGAGTTTCACTATATTTTACACGAATTCAAGATTTTATTGAAAAATAGTCCACTATCAATATGAAAATCAGGTGGAATATGAAGTTGAATTGTTTTCAGAAAAACACAGTAGGTATAGCTGAAACCAGTAGTGTCACTCTTGTCGGAACCTTTGATGTTTAGGTCTCACAGTTCAATTTTTTTAGGAATACATCCATAATTACCCGTCACGACTAGATTTGTCAGCGTTTGACATTTCATACACTGCTTAATAAGTAAATAGATACAAACTGCTCGACAGTAAAACAAACTTCATGGGAAATTGAATGGTAATTTGTAGAACTGGATGAAATGCAATATTTTTGCATACTGTATAAATAATTCAAAACGTATAAAATCGAACAAATTTCAGAAAGCGAGTAGAAGAGTTTCTAACGAATGAAAAAAATTGATTTGCTTGTCCAACCCAGCCGGTTCTCTAGAGATGCAACAACCTTGAAACATACATGTATGCAAGTGGTTATTCTCAACTAAATGGAAAATAATTCTTATTGCTGTAGATGCCAGATTTTCCTACAGGTGGTTATCTTACCCATATCGAAATAAAATTCTGCTAGTTGGTTTTAGATAGGATGCCCCTGAAACATTATTCCTGTTCTCTGAGAAACAGTGCACAAGGATTTTTTTGATTCAATAATGTCGTGGCACTAGGAAGGGAAATAGTTGATTAGACAGGTGTTTGCCATTACAGTCTACATGGAACTAGAAATGGGAAAAAATCGGTCGACAACAACTACCGTTTCTAAACGATTTTCCAAAAAAAAAATATATAAGCTTGGTGCCACCGTTAGAATATAACAATCAAAATTTCAATTATAACAATATACCATACCATTCATCAATAAAATACTTCTTAGAATATTGAGATGAGTGTAAAAGAATTATGAATTTTCTGTAACTATTGTATTACCAAAGATTACAGAATACTAGTATTCGGTAAACGTTGGTATTACACTACAAACAATAAATGAACTGTTGTCAATTTTCTCAACGACATCTCTTGCTACATTCTTTACTGCATGTATTCCACGTTTGTCGTTCTAAATGATACAAAGCTATTGCAATCACTTATTATCTATATTGATTCAAGACTGTAAACGACACTGGGAGAAATTATTTTATTTATCACAGTATTCAATGCAAGAATATTCCATGTATGGTTTTTTAAAAAAATTTTGATTGCGTTTAAAAAATAATTCAATGACTACATATCAAAAAAATAAACTGATAAACTGATTATTGTTGTAATTGAGTATTGGCACATTTTTTGTTTGGTTAATGACATCCAGAAAATGTGCTACAAATAAGAAAAAAACAATTCGATTGAATCATTCATTTATTTACTTATCAAGCCCTGGATGAAAATATATAATTTGTATTTGCTACAAATACACCTCTTGGATACATTAAAAGATATAAGTACAAAATATCACAACTTATTCAATTCCTTCTTTTAAAATTGGCCACAAATTAAAGAATGCTGAAATTGTTAGTTGCCATGCCTTTGAAAAATCTATCCTATTGGTAAATTTTCCGTTTTTTTCTTTTAAAATTCTCATTATTCTAAACATTTTTTTCATGTATTTCAAATACGGATACAATACGAAATCAATCACAACTTGAAATATTTCTGCGGGAATGGTAATATTTGCCACAACAAAACTTCTCTCTATCATGATTCCACAAGCGTCAGTCTGATAGACCAGAAGCCGTAAATTCTATGAAAATTTTCAGACATGACAACGTTGACAATTATCGAGGCAATTCACACCACTTCCCTCTAGGATTCGATCATGCGCACTGTGATTTATTACCAAAAAGTGGGGATAGTGACACTACTGGGTCTTTAGCACTCTATTGTGAAAAAGTTTTCATTCTGATCATACCACTTCTGAAATCGGTTATCCGCAGGAAAATAATATTCATAAATTGAAATTGAATCATTCAAACTACCTAGTAATGCTGTTTTTCCAAATGGGTTTATCCCATATCAGGTTAATCATCTATTTACTCAATGAATTACCTACCCATAGATATTTTACTGTGCTCGAGGAGATGCTGCAAATGCCTCATGCAGGCATAAGCTGTCCCTCGCTCATTTTCGCAAAGTTCCTCTCTTTTGACTGATTGAACACTTGAATCGGCATTTGTTAGGATACCATCTTTAACTACGAAATGGATAAGATCCATAGCTCTCCTCATTTGGCAGAATACTGTGTCACGGTTCTCTCTGGCGGATGAACATTCTGGATGTCTCATACTAGTCTGAAAAATAACACTAATATTACAGTCAGATTTGAGATACTAGCAGTAAAAATAATAAGCCATATAATAGATGACGTTACTTTGATAAACTTGTCGTTAATTTCATAGAATCAAGGGTTATGAGGAAAACTAGAGAACTGCATCCTTTGCCTTATCGTCTTTAATAATGTATACCGTAGTTGTAGACGAACATCAGGCATGATAACTTGCAAGCAACAGTCAACAAATCAAAAAAAATATGTCAAAATGTTTTCGTTCATTTTTCCAAAATGCTTTGTGGCTTTCTGAAATGAAACAACCTGATTTGGATTTTGATGAAAATATATATTTGCAAATTGTAAATGTTGAAGAAAAATTCAAACCGCACTGGATTTGAAAGAACATTTTCTAGTGCTGGGAAAAGGGAGACCATACCAAACGATAGAGCCAATATAACTAGTATATTTAAATAGAAAGTTATCTTCAAAATAATACTTGCTGACAACTCCGAGATGGAATTTATGTAACCATAAGAAGTTTGCTTTCTATATGACATGTGACGATGCAAAATTGGGAAATTCATTCAAAATAAAATGTATAATTCGCAGACACTAAATCATTTTCATTAACATGAAAAATCAGGTCAACCAAAGTCAGAGATAGAAGTATACATCAACGTAGAATGATGTCAAATAGGTATTGACTGGAATATCATAGAAGCCGTATATCCAATGAATGTTATTTCAGTCGACATCCAGACCAACTTGTCAACACATTGACTTATATAAATATCAATTTCATCATGTGGCAGAACATAAAAAATTCACTAGGAAAACTCATTTTCTTCTATCAAGGAGGCACAAACAATGAAATATGTTCTGGATCGATACATAATGCATCAGTGGGTATGAGGATACATAGTAGTATAATTTCCGAAGAACCGTCAACAATAAATGAAAACCAAATGAAATCCCCTTTCACGTTATAAAGAGATTGTGAAATTTAATCAATGATGTCAACATACCTCGCAAAATGAACTAAAAATTACTCAAAAAATTGAATAGGACTGGGCGATACTTGATGAAAATCCATACTTATAAAGATTTCTGTGTTAGTATATTTTTTCATAATTTTTTTTTGTAGTTAAACCCTCCATAATAAATATTACAATAATTTGAAACAGTGACATTAAGAAATGCAGTACAAACAAAGAGAAACTCCCACTAAAACCGAAGTTGTGCATCCTAACAATTTCAACAGATAAAATAAGATATACGAGCCAGTGGGACGTGGTATACAGTACTAAAGAACGCCAGAAATGTAATACTCGTAGAATAAAAATGCAGTACACTCATCAACAACGTGGAGCAATCGTAACAATCTAGAACAAGTGCAGACTAATCGGGAGTGAACATTTCCATGAACATTTCCACCCCTCCTACTATTATAAATTCGAGTGAATACGGAGCACCCCCGTCTCCACATCCTGAAGACACAGAAGAACCACCTATTTCCAGATAACTACAGGCCAATCAGCTTAACCCCTTCCTTAAGCAAAGTGGCGGAACGTTTCATCATGAAAAAATTTGAGGACCGAAGCGATTTTCTTAGACGTCTCCAAGGCGTTCGACAGAGTTTGGCGTGACAGACTTCTGGCCAAAATGAGCAATTTTGGCTACACGCACCAAATGGTAAGATTAAACGAGTCTTTTCTAGATGACAGGTGATGCCGCTGCAGAGTAGGACAAGAACTCTCAACCATGCGACTACTAGAAGCAGGGGTCCCACAAGGTGCAGTTCTATCGCCACACCTCTTCTCGGTATACACAGCAGATGTGCCCAAGAAAACAACGTTAACAATTTGGCGCTTTACGCGGATGACATATCTCTGCTGGCGAGATCAACAAGACAAGCGCACGTCACTAGATACTTGCAGCAACAGGCAGATAGATTAGTGGAATGGGCCAACCTGTGGAAGATCAGTATAAACCCTGACACGAGTCAGACAATACTGTTCACCCGAAGTTGGGCACACCCGGAAGGAAACGTCACCTTCAACGGACAAGAGATTTCGTGGACCAACAAAGCTAGATACGTGGGAGTCACCATAGACAAAAGATTTAAATTATAGGTCTCGTGTACGGCAGAGAATAGGAATAGCGAGATCTGCCCGACAAAACCTATTATCAATAATAGGTCGAAAAAGCAACATGGGAATGGAAGTGAAGCTGCTGATGATAAAGACCGTACTACTACCAATAATCTTGTATGCCTGCACTGTCTGGAGCGGCCCCAGTCGTTTATGAACGCGTACATAAGGGCCTCCGAACCGAATAGGTACATATTTCGGGATTTAGACCTGAACATACACTACGTAGACGCATATATTAACACGCAGAAGACGCGTTTGACAAAATTCGAGCGCACGACAATCCAGTGCTATGCGATCTACACAATACATTACACGGGGGTGACCCCAGATTCCGAGAGAGTGATAAACATAGAAGGCCAACCAAGCAGAACCAACGTCTACCTCCGAGAGTTGCTGTCAGGCGGATCCGAAGATTATAAAATTTTTTCTAACAGATAAAAAACACTTCTTTCTCAGGCTCAACGAGAAACACTCGACCGCGATCACTTTTTTAAAACAATTAGTTAGTTTTTGGGGACCCCATGCAAAAATTCAGTTAGAAAAGCCAAAATAAAACAATACATTAGATCAGAAACTAAAAGCGCCTAGAGGCTGACTAGAGGAGCGGGGATGGATGGATGAGATGGGATATTCTGCACACAGTAACCGTATGGGAGAGATTCCAACTCAGGACACTCACCCGAGAGGGGGGCATGGGGGGTTACTCCCGTAAGTTGTTACTAAGACTTCGACACCGCTCAGATTTTGATATTTCTGAGAGTGCCTCATGTTCAAAGAGACCCTTCAATTCATATAAGAAATTATGCCTGGGTTTTTATTTAATAAAAATTGAAAATTCACAATTACTTTGAATAAATCTAACAGAAGCTGTTGAGTGAGGCTCACTAACATATATTAGTGAAAAATACACCCAAATCAGTTTACTATTTTGAGATTAGCGAGTACAAATGCTCACAAACAAATAATTAGACAAACATTCTGAAAGTAATTGAATTGGTTCCTTTTGCGTCGATAAAGACCTCAAATATCTTTCATGTATCAGCGAACAGTTATACTATTATCAAGTTCAATTTTTTCAGAAATATTTCGAAAATGTTATTCCTTCAACAAGGCATCTATTATTTACAAAAGTATTGGAATACGAATCTAAATGAGTATTTTGCCAAAATAGATATAATTCAGTTTTGTAAAATGTATTTTCAAGTTACTAAGCTAGTTCAACTAGAACATATCCATTCACATCCATCAAGTCTTCTCATTGTATAAAAATAAAATTTGAAATTCTTTATGGAACATTCTGGCCGTTATTTATTTGATATTCCAACGAAAAAACCCGTTGCAGTTTATAACACCAGTTTAATTTGAAATCATCAATAGGAAAAAAGGAAAATGAAAATAGATACTTCAAATATCGCCCAGTCAATGCTGATTCATTCCAAGTTAGAAAGAAAACAATAAATTTATGAGTGATAATAGTTAGGATGGGGATACCGATGAAATTACTTAGCCTAATTTTAGATTATTCTCTTTGTGTGCTTGAGTAACTTTTTAAAACTTATCTTACTTTGCTGGAAGTTAGTAACATCATCGTAGATCTTTCCAAAACTTGTCTAGCAGCCGCCATTTGTGCCCTTCTTCTCTCGTCCTTCAGATCATTCTGTCTATCACCTGTCAAGTGAGCCAGTTCTACCATCTCAGCACCAAACTGACTGAAGGCTTTTACGAATTCTGTGAAATTGCCTACCGACTCTAGACGATCCAAACTATGAGATACCTGAAAATTATATTAAAAAGCTAAATTTGAAATGATGCGTGTAATCCTTAATATTTATTTTATGAAGCTTATGAGATATAAATATTAACGAGTGTGTATGATATAAATCAAAAGGGGTAAATTCGTAGACAGAACACTCAAAAATAGGGGCAAACCGCGGACACGTGTTTCTGGCTATTGGCCTCATCAGCGCGGTGCAGCCAATTGCAAAGATGGACAACAACTGGTTACCAAAAATGAAAAACATCACATATGCACGGTGTCCTGTTGGTGTCCTGTATTTATATCTTGGACCCGGAAGTCACGCAGGTAGCTATAGCTGCCTACGTGGTGATGTTAAATGATGCCTGGGAATTCTAGGTCTTCTAATTGAAACCACAAATGTGCGGTTAGCTCCTGTTGGTGACACCGACGTACACATTTTCATGGGTGACATCAACATAAATATATTAAACACCTCTGACACTAATACTAATAATTATATATGTTTAATGGCCCAGCAGGGATATTTCTCCTACATCAACAAGCCTACCCGAGTAACCAAAGACACTTCCAGTGTGATTGACCATATTTACGTAAAAGTCTCAGGAAAAAAATGTTTCGCCGTAGTATCATTTATTGAGATTATCATCTGGGTATCCTGCAAATGTTTTACATCAATACCCCATTTTCATTGGAATAATGTTTGTTTATATATTTCGTCATAATTCAAGACTGGTTAATATCATATCAAATCATACATCATTTTCATTTTAGTGAGATAAAAGTAATCACCCTCATGCATTGAATATACTCTACCAGATTCAGTCTATATAGAATTCTAATGATTCAGACCACATATTATTACGATTTGTTTATTAATAATTTTGACATTCTTCAATATGTATTTTCTATACTTGTGTCGGTGATGTATTTCACTCCAAATAACTCTATTCCATTACTGTCTGCACTATTTTGATATCTATAAATTGTTTTTCGTTTCCACTTATTGAGCTCATGAAATTTGGGAGTGATTTAACTAGAAGATATGCAAATTTATAGTGACTTCATTAAACATATAGCCAAAATTCAATGAGTTATTCTTTTACTAGAATAAGGAGGTATAGATAACAAAAATTTTGGACAAACAAATTTCATTACAAGAAATTACATGTCAGGTGAAAATGAGTGTATACAGCTAAGATTCAATCTTCTCCACATTGACTGAGGAATTTTCTCAAAATTACCAAGGTCGTTTCTCAGTGAGTTACAACCAGCTATTATTCGATTTCACGAATCTTTCAAATTTCCAATGGAATAGAATAAACGGCTATATAGAAAATAACACAATGGGGATCCTGTAGATCATTGGTGATGAGGTCCCTTCTCTTATTTTTAAAAAAGAGAGTAATTTTTAAAATAAGGAAATTTTCAAGAAAGCGACTTTCCAATGTTCAACAAAGAACAAACTATCCCCAAGTATAAGGAGTATATATTTGAATTGCCGCAGAATGTTTCTTGAACACCTTAATATTTTAGGAGAAATTAACGCATGTTATAGAAAAAAATCAAGTAGTTGTGCTATGGAAAGTGTCTAAATATAACTTTCAGTACCTTATCTTTCGCGAGGAGGAGTTGTTTCACAACAACAATATCAGCTAACAACAAAACTCTTGTAATGGCACCTAGAAGACACCTTGCTGCTCTTATCAGAGTTGTCCGATCAGGTAGCACTTCTTCTTCGTGTACTTCGCAAATGTGTTCGATGGCTCCACCTACGGATTATAATGCAAAACTCAATGTAAAATTTGGTGAAATATCCCACTTGTGAGAAAGATAGTGGTGCTGTTTTAGTACTTTTGTATTAAATTCAGTACATTCATAACCTTGAAATAGTTTCAGTACGCCCTTCGATGAGTCAGTACTTTTTCACCATGTTTATCAGATCAGAATAAATGGCCTTCTCAAATTGTAACCGATCAATATGCATGACATTTGTGTTATTTTCAACATAAAATATTTCTTACATGGTTGTTTTTGTAAAACAAAAGTGCTTGCCTAGACATTTTGATTTTGATTTTCACTTTATTTGTAATTATTGTTGAATTGAGGTGTAAAATTAACAAGACTCTGCACATATAGCAAGGGAGGAGTGGGTATATATTGAATATATCAGTTATTCACGGCTACGCATTTTTTGTAATTTTTTTTCTGTATTCTGTAAATCCTTTGATCCATTTTTTTTTCGATAGCAGAAAATCGTCGAACACTCAGAACACTTCCAACTTTCATTCCTTCCACCAACAATCTGAACATGCTAAACTCTAAACATATATTCGAGACGAGTGTACATAAAAAAAATTGCTAATCAAATGTAGGTACCCGCGAAATTAAAACTAGCTCGACAACTTATAATCAAAATTTTGAATGGATATGGTGTAATTGGAATTGGAACTAAAAATAATCCGATATTGAGATATGAGGCTGAAAAGTTAGTATTTTCCTATGTTTTTTCAATTGCTCTGTTGAAAGTATTATGTCAAAAAATTTCACTTTTAATTAGTTTCGAAACGCACTAACCACATGATCCACACTACTTTTGATGAATCTCAGCCAATCGGAGAATTGTTTGGTATTAGGTGTCACTTACAGCAAGATCTTTGGTTTGGATGTTTACAATTACTGTTGAAAATTTCACTTCATTCATTCCTTCCATCGTTGCGTCCCTTTTATATTGATCATTGTAAGTTGGACAAAGAGCTTCTCGGTACTTCAAGAAAGATGATCCTGATAACTAATTACGACAATATTTTTGGTGAATCATTTGCTACTGTTAGTTTATCAGCAGAATTCACTTTGATTAAGGCCCATTTACAAACACTCCTATTTGTGATTTCAAAAATTTGAGAAATGATCAGTTTTCACTAACATTTCAAAGAAGAGTTTATCTTCAATAGAATGACTACGAGAAATTCTATAACAAATATCAGCTATTTAATGCAAATGCATCAGTCTCGAAGTTGTTCAATTTCCTCGAGAAAATTCATCTATTTTGTCTGAGTATCTAGCAAATCTTCATTGCATTCTACTCTCCTTTGTCGTGTAATCTATATCGGAATATTGACCCTTATTGAAAAATAGAAAATGAAACTTATGGTTCGTTGTGCTATTGGTTATTGTTTAAATCAGAGAGAAAAACAAACTCGTTTTCATCCAAAATTGAATAGCGCTGTCCGACCCATCCAGAAGTCAGCATTGGAGCTTGACCAAACCACGAATACATTACTGGACTCCACTCTTCTCAAAGGACAGTCTTGATGATATCTCTCTTCAGAAAGACGCCATCTATGGGATCGACAGAAGACTCAAACCACGAATAATATAAGGCTCCTTAAGGGAGTCCGTTGCAAAGCCAAGTTTCGTCATCGACCACCAAACGAGATTCGTCCTCTGTGTTTCACTGCAGCTTTCCCTGCAAGGCAGCTAATTGAAATCAGAGCTCTAAAACAAAGAAGTCTTGATCCAAATCCAGACACAGCTGTTTCAACCCGCCGAAATCTCGACAGCGGTGCTAGGCATTGCTGAACCCGACTGTTCTTGAAAGATGAACCTGAATGAATTAACTACTCTCCTTACGAAGAAGCCATCTATGGGATCGACATATTAAATATAAACAAGGCTACCTAGGCTTCCGTTGCGAAGTCAACCGCTGAACGAGATTTGTTCTCTATCTTTTACCACAGTTTTCACTGCAAAGATGGAAACCTGCGAAGATGGGAACCTGAAAGATAGAACAAACATACCAATACAAGTAATCATGGAATTACTAGGATGCTGTGTGAGAAACTGCTACTTCCAACTGAAGGATGAATTCTCTACACAAGATGTAGAGAATTCATCCTATATATATAGTGGTTTGGAACTCTGGCCATTGAACAAGCCCACAAGAAGCCCCGAGTCTGGTTGAGATACGTGGACGACACCTTCATAGTATGGAACCATGGGAATGCAGAACTAAACACTTTCACAATGGAGAAGGAAGTCCACAACAAATTGCAATTCTTAGACGTATTGGTGAAGAGAACCGACACTAAATAGGTAACATCTGTAAATCGAAAACCCACTCACGCGGGACAGTATCTGAAACAGGAATCCAACCACCATCAATCGACTAAGAGAGGAATCATCAAGACTCTACTAGACCTTGCTTTCGAACTCGGCAATACAAAGGAAGGTATCGAAAAAAAAACTAGGAATAATCAAAAATGACTTGCAATGGAATGGTTACTCCAAAGTGATGGTGGAACAGGCTTTAGCTAGAAGACAGCAAGAGCTCCACAAGGAAGAGAAGCCGCAACAACCAGTACTTGTACTTCCCTTCCTACTTACATCAGAGGATTGTCGGAAAGGATAAGAAGAATTGGGTCTAAATATAACATCAGAACCTGCTTCAGATCTCGGAACACTATACGTAGCAGTCTCACGAAACCAGGCCACCAAACGTGGACTGCGATTCCAAGAATTGCATTTACGAGTGTGAAGAATCATACATCGGTGAAACTAAGAGGCCTTCGAAAGTTCGCATTGCCGAGTACATAAAACACACTCAGCGAGGAGAAACCAGCAGATCCGGAATAGCAGAGCATGTTTGGACTCATCAACATAACATCAAGTGAGTTCAAGCTGGAATCATCCACAAGAAGAAACACTGGTTCAGGAGAAAGTTCAAAGAAGCCGCATATATGTTGTCCAACAACGCATTTAGCCAAGCTATCGTAGAGATACATAACATATGGAAACATCTAATCAAGCGGAACACGACCAACTCCCGCCAAACGGTCAGCTCCCGCTAAAATCCAATGAAGAGGAGAGGGGGAAGAGGGGATAGGTGAAAGCAGTCGAATGACCCGTAAATAGTCAGTCAGTCAAAGAGAGAGACAACAACCAATTTACAATGACAGCTGTCATGAGATTCAGTCTGGAAAGCTGTGTTTGTTTGTCTGAGTTAAAACTATGGAACAAAAGAGAACTGAAAACCCAAAATAAATGTCCAATTAAAAATCAATTAATTGATAACACCCTTATTAGATTTTAGAAAAACAAGTGAAGAAGTGTTATTATTTGAGAGGTTAAGAGAGATCGATCCCCACTGGGATTGATCTCATGACGTTTCGAAAAAGTCTCATTTGTCATTATCTGGCGATTTCAATTAAGTGTTCGAAAGTCGACCGACCTTACTCGATCCGCTCCCTACTGTCTAGGTAAAATGATGTTTATTACGTGTTCGGAAGTAGATTGTCTTTACAAAATTCGTATTCTGTGTTATTATCCCCACTGTGTTATTATCCCCACTGCATTACTATCCCCACTGTCGAAACGTCGTGAGACGTCTTTTGTCATCTTCTGGTGATTTCTTGTTGAGTGTTCGGAAGTCGACCGACCTTAGAGAGATCAATCCCAGTTGGGATAATAACACAGAACACGGATCAAAACCCGAAAATCAGTTGAGCACATTCCTGTCCCTGAGAACCTTAGATTTAACATTTCACGTAATAAATATCATTTTACCTATACAATAGGGAGCGGATCGAGTGAGGTCTCCGTCTGAAATGAACCTGCCGGTACTGAATAATCAACGTTTTCTAGTGAACATAACCGCGTTGGTTTAATTTTGTCGTGTTAGGAATCACACGTTAACAGGTAAGACCTCGTTAATCCTTAGCTCGCACAAGTTTCGACTTCTGAGGGTTGTCGTTCGTAGGGGTGCTACAGCTGGTTAACGGAAAAACAGATTTTAAACAGATTTTTTAAACTGAATTCTATAGATTGTCGAATCTGCTCTATTCAGTGGATGGTGCTAAGAAAATGATGTACTGTCCTAAGTTAGTGTATGCGAAAAATGCCAACAATTTCATCCACCTACACCTGAGTAAAATGTATAATATGGAAGCATTTCAAAGAAATATAATTATCATTACCGTAAACGCTATTTCAAAGAGTCAAAGAACCTCTTCAAAAACATATCTGTTTTCTTTTTCTTCACAGCGAAGGTAATGGCTTTTATGGCGTTTTTCGGGACATGAGAAAATCTCCTTCGCTTTTATCATGGAATGAGAAGTTTCTCTTGAAACAATGAAGTTGGGACTATCAATCTTTCGCTGAAAAGTGCGCTAACTGAATTATCCTTTTCGTTTCGGAACATAATTGCGAATTCCACTCGGAAACTGAGACCTGATAAGATCTGGTGGAGGAAATTATCATCGAAGTTTGGGTGTTAAATCACTATCACCGTTTTCGGTGATAGTGATTTTCATATCGGTGTAAAGTGCCGCCGATATGAGACAATTTCCTGTCGACAATAACGTGTCAGCATACGGTGACAGAGTTGCTTTCATTCGTTCGTGAATAATTTATGAAATTGGGACAAGAACCGAAATCAATTTCACAGTCGGAATATTCTTTCAATATTTCATTTAAACAAAATATCAGTGTCGTTATTACTATTAGATATTTCTATTCTTATACAATGTGAAAATAAATATCGTTCAATTCTCGTTTTTTACAAAAAATTGTGTTCCATAAAATCACTTGCATATTGTTATGAAACACAAAAGATTTAACTTTCTGAACTATCACATCTTTATTGAAGCCAATCGAAACAAATTATACTTTGTATGATGATAATAAATGCGATGAATGGGCTCATTCAGGCTAATTTAGTTTTATATTGAAAATTATATAACGATATCTTCGTTACAAGTATTCAACAAAATTTGTTTTTCCTTTTTTTGAACAAACGGTGGAGCTTTAGATGTATGGGCCGTCGGTCCTTCAATCTGGCAATCAAATATATTCGGAATTTCGCCCGGTTTCAATATAATTTTTCCCAATTTCATAGTTTTGATATACATGTAATTTTCTAAGTCTGTTTCTACCTAAAATTCAAAGTATTGCTCAGAGTAAAGTATAATTTTTTTATTAATCATTATCATTCATACTTATATTAAAATGATCTTTGCAACAAAAATGCGTCCCCTTGACAGATACAAAGTCGGCCCTCCGCATAGCGCGCTGCCATAACTTTCATAACAGTAAAATAGAAATTTTGTCTGGTGCAGTTACCGAAGAATTCTTGCATTTAGGAAAGATGCAATACATGTAACGTCATTTTTTATCATTATTCATATTCACGCAGTTGACACACTGCAATAAACAACACTCAACTTGCTTTCTACGTATTTCGCTTATCCGCCAGCACTCCCTTGTCACCGAGTCGACTGATGTGACGTCAAGCTTGACCACGCCCCGTTTCGGTGAACGCCACATTCAACAATTAATTTGAGGGGGAAGGTAAAGAGTGAAAATTCAGATTTTTTGCAGATGTACTATTTGAAACATAAACTTTCAAATTATGAAATAAAAAATAATTATTAATTGAGCCCATTAGTGAATAATTGGACCTTTCCTCATGTGTTCATATTGTTCAGTAATTTTTCGTGATGAACTTTTCAGTTTGTCTTTGAATGAACTTACGTAGATTTCATATCAATCTTGTTTTATTTTTGTATTTAGATTGTAAAACCGAGAAAAAAAATAAATAATAACTTCCTCACAAAAAAAGTTCTCCATAAAACAAAATTTGGATGCCAGCTGACAAACGATGACAAAAAACTTCACATTTAAATTATATTTTCAGTGGAATTATAAATGCTTCGTCTATGAGACAAAGCTTTGAAATCTCCAATATTTGATGGGTGATTTTAGGACACTTGACATCAGTATTACCCAAGAATGACAATGAATATAAAGAGTGAGCCAAATTAAGCATTGTCAACCTAAAGAAACATGGAGAGACAAGGTTGTTGCGCTTACTATTTTCAATGTCTTTGACCGAGGGTGTCCTGGCCAAACTTTGATGCTGTGGCTTGTCGGATCACTTTTGTGTATGGCTCTTCAGCTTCCTAAAAGAATGTTTCCTGCAAGTAGCCGTTGATGGATATCTCTCGAATACTTTCACCATTAGCGCTGGTGTTCCCCAGGGATCTATATTGTCTCCGACCCCCTTTTTATTGTATATCAACGTATGTCTCGTCATTCCATTTGGATTCCAGGACATCGGCTACGGAGGCACATCTTCACCAGTAGCAGGAGGTTGCATATCTTAATGAGAATCTAGAAGTGATTTCGAATTGGGGTGAAATCAACCAAGTTCAATTCAGTGCCACAAAAACCCAGGCATCGGTTCTCTCCAAAAAGATAAGTGTTTCCGAACCGGATATAATAATGTCAGGTCAGACAATTCCGCTTTCTGCTTCGACAAAATTATTGGGAGTTAAAATGGACAAAAATATGTCTTGGCACAATCATGTCGCTGGAATTGCAAAGGCTGCTTCTCAAAAGCTTGGAACACTGTTCCGAACCAGAAAACTGTACACACCTCAGCAACTTTTGATGCTTTATAAAACTCAGATCAGACCTTCTTCGGAGTATTGTTCACATGTATGGAGCTTGGCCCCAAACATCACTTGCAACTTTGATAGTCTGGAACATCGAAGAAAGTTTGGAGATCTTTCTTCTCTTGAATTTATTAGTTAAACAACCCCTACAATTTTCAGTGATGAATTTTAAAGTTGGCACCCTGGTTCGCTCAACTACCTGGCTTTCAAATACCTGTCCTTACATTTTACCTGAAAACTCCCGATATAACCGAGTTTTCAAACTTCACATCTCAGTTTTATACTTGATAATGGGGACAAATCCAAAACCGGTCGTATAAATAAAATCAACTAGTGGTAATTAGACAAAAGTGCTTTTATTCATTTCAAAGATAGTTTCACGGGAAGTGTTCAAGTGACTTGGCACATTTGATTCCACCAAGAGCGGTACATATCAGAAATACGCGACGGACATTGGCTGCTCATCGTTTTGGGGTTCAACTCGGTACACCTATCGAACTTCACTGGTTAATAACTCTTTCATTCGGAAAACGGCGTTTATGTGGAATAAACTTCCTGAGAACGATTTTCCAATTGGATTTAATATCCAGCGATTCGAATCCAATGTGAATCCCTACTTTCACACAGGCACCGCTCTAAGAGCGCCCTAAAGGTTTTCCTGTAGTGCAAATGTTTTGTCTTTATAAAACGAACCTTGCTTACATACAGTCAAACTACAATTTTTTTTCTCATGATGACGTTTAAGTGATACCAGAATGTAATTAGTCAATCATCTTGCCGCTAACAACATCAGAAGAATGCCACATTCAGCAATGGCTGTTGTTATGTGATATACGAGATTTGTTCAAAAAATTCAATTAGCGATTTTTTCAACTCGTCTCGAACATATGTAAATTTTATGTGAAATAGGGAACTAAGTACACAAAATACAATCACCATATGCTACTGTTAACAGTAGCATATGGTGATTGTACTCTTAGTCAGAAAAATGTTTACAAGTGATTCAAGCTCATCTCTGGAGGTCGAGAAGATGTGAATGACGACGCCCGCCGTGGACACTCAGAACATCAACAACCGATGAAAATGTTGAGAAAGTGAAGAAAATTGTCATGGAGAATCGCCGAATCACTATCAGAAAAGTTGCTGAGAATATCGCCATATCGGTTGGCTCATGCCATGCAATATTTTCGGAAATTTTGGGCATGAAGCGTGTGGCAGCGGAAGTTCTTTCCGAAATTGCTGAGTTTTGACCAAAAAACCGTCGCATGAGCATAGCTCAGAAATTGCTGAATAACGTCAACATCGACTGAGATTTGCTCAAACGGGTCATAACTGGTGATGAATCATGACTATATGGTTAGGTTATGACATCGAAACCAACGTCCAATTGTCCTGATGGAATAGCCCAGGAGAGCCAATACTGAAAAAACGCACGCCAAATTCGATCAGATGTCAAAGTTCAGCTCACTGTTTCCTTCTATTACCCTGGCGTAGTGCATCGTGAGTGCTTGCCACATATCGTACGGTCAATGAGGAGTATCTTCTTGAAGTTATGCGCTGCTTGAGAAAAGCAATACGAAGAAAACATCCGGTATTATGGAAAAACAATGCATGACTTTTGCATCATGATAATGCATCTACTCACTCGTCATTGCTTGTTCAACAACACCGTAATCATCCCTCAGCCACCGTATCCACCAGATTGCCCCCCTGCGACTATTTCCTGTTCCAGAGATTGAAGAGAACCTTGAAAGGATGTCGTTTTGCGACGATTAAGAAGATAAAAACTGAATCGCTGAGGGAGCTCAAAAAATGCATATCAGAACTGCTTCGAGGATAGGAAAAAACGCTGGCCCAAGTGTATTATATCTGAGGGTGGCTACTTTGGAGAGGACAAAATAGAAATTGATGAACAAACAAAGGAGAAAAATTAAAATTCACTTCACTTTTTAAACAGAACTCGTGAACAGACCAGTAATAAATAAGCTGTCAATAAATTACATGTTGATCCAGGAAAATAATTCAAAGAGAAACAAGGAGATTTAGGATGATCTAATAAGAGGCACGGAAATAATAATACTAATGAAAGGTAGAACTGAAACCTCTGGCGTAGAATGAATTCAAAACAAGTACTGTTCCCAAACACCAGAACTGCAACATTCTTCTCGATGCGCGTTTCACTAACCAAATTGACGTCTTCAGGAGATGAAGAAAAAGCAGCATGTTTCAAGAAGCAGCTCATTCTACACTATTTTGAATGTCTAGAATAAACAATTTTCCTTTGACCTGGTGATAGTTCATGATGTAATGATATGAATCTCAGCTTAGTTAACTAATATAATCTTGTTCACAAGTCCCATATATAGCAATCTTTGAGTTCACCTCCACCGAAAATTGTGATTGAGGTAAAAAATAGGAGTCAGTTTTTGCGAATATCTCAAAAATTTTTGCAAATATTCGAATAAAAAAATTCAAATGCAAAAAATTTCATGAAAAAACGTTTAACTATTTAACAAAATTAAAATATCCCAAATATTTCATTTTCTCCCTGGTAAAAGCTACATGAATATTTTTTCTTAATTTTCAATTTTCTTAAATACATAATAATGCATTTTCTAATAATTTTTCTGTTAGAACATAATAATGTTGAGAAATAGTTTTTTAATAATTATTTCTATTGCAGTTTCTCATTCTGATCCTTTATTCGTTTATTCACTTTCTTGTTAGTATAATTATAAACAAAACTAAAAATAACCATATGTAATTTTTCCAGCGAGGACTTTTTCTTCAAAGAATAGCTAGAAAAAAAAATATTTTCATGTAAACCTACAACTGCAATGAAAAATATTATATATTCTGTTATTAGTGATCCTTAAGTCTCGTTACCGACAAAGATTAGTTCTCTGGATTTGTAATCCATCAATTGATTGAAAAAATATGTTCTCTAGTAAGAAAGTTGTAAATCTGAACAGCTGTTTGATACGTTAGCGAATTATTATTTAGTATTTGGTTCGGTTGAATGTGTTGAACATGCATGTCAGAGACACCTAGTTGATTCGTATCGCCCATTATATGTGTTTCCGAAGAGCATTTACGGTAGGTTATTCTTTTCGATCTATTTCTGGTAGAATACGATCTTGGCTAGATAACTCATGAATTCAGGAAAGCGCGATATGTTTGGCTCGTACATACAAATAAAAAAGGAATTCTCAGTATTTTGTTACTTGAAACTACTATTTCTACATTACCACAGTGTAACTCACCGGCTTGTCGCGCTTCCTTGCAAGCTTCGTACATCCCCTGTCGTACTTCCGGGTAATCATCGGCGATAGTTTCGCCGACAGTGACGAAACGTTCGACTGCCAAGTTAACGGCCTGCCCCACTCGGGCCACAGCTGAAGGCCGCAAAGACGACACGCTGCCATGTTGTTCTACCAAGGACGATATCTAGAACAAATATACAGTCACTGAACACTGTCAAAAACCAAATCATATTTGAGATCTAAAATCATTAAGGTAAGTCCGTTAGATATAGCCATACGGGACAGATTGCACACGGCCGTAATTCCAAAAGTTTATTTTAGATGACGCCTGTGTAGCGCCAGTATGACTCGTGATGATAAGATCGAACGTGTGCCAAGGTCTCGGGAAAAACGAAAAGAAGGTAAGCAATATTTATTTTCATATTTAATAAAATGTTTCCATTTTTATGCTCCGCCAGAAAATACCTGATTCGTTGAACTTTCTTCAATGTGGCGCGTATTTACTCGTGTTTAACGACTAAATGCGGACGTTGCCGTGTTGTTCGATTGAAATTATTGGGGTGGCGATCTCACCTGTAAAATTGGGAAAGATGGCCTACATTTTCAAGGTATTACGGCCATATTAAAAAAACTCATTTGTCATTTTTTTGCGAATTAATGTTTCATTAATTCATTTTTTCAGATGCCGAATGTTTATAAACGTGCTTCTGTTCTTCTTTGTGGCAATTGGACAGAGGGGCAGTTCTAATCTGCAATGAATGCTCTTCGGATGAATATTTCTGTGGTATCCCTCCAAAAACATTGGAAAGAAGACTCAAGTTTAACAATGATAAGGGGAACCTTGTGTTCTTGTAAATGACAACGAAGAACGCATGAATCAGTTGTCTGTTAGCTTCACTTTGGATTTGTTTGCCTAGTCAAACAAATTGAAAGAATGCAGAAACATGGATTTCTACTGACGAATGACGATGTTCGGAGCATTGCGTATCGTATTCCTGTTCAACTTAAGAATGGTAAGGACATCGAGCGAGATTTAAATCGGACATAACCTTGAAATTTATCGAGACAAATAGGGGCGGACCTTATTTCCTTCAAACGATCGCGAGAAGACGTACTGACCAATTCGTTAATTGATGTTTATGAGTNATTAACGTTTCAAAATATTTTTTTTCGTGAATATGAAATATTCGTTAACTCAGCGGGATTCTCTGTGTATATAGGAAAGTTTTTTCCTTATGATTTTTTTTGCTAAAATCCATCATTTTCTCGTAGAATTCTAAATTAGATTTCAGTATGACGCGCTCACTCCTTACGACTCTTAAAATAAAACCTGAGTTCAACCAAATAACCCAAAAAGCTGGCGCTATGAGTGGCTCGGCAAGTTCTTATCCAGGCACATATTATTGGGAAAATCAGATGGTGTATCAATAGCAAAAGTTTTGGGTATGAATATGAGTTTTAAGTATGAATGAACTGTTAAACGAAATTATGCAAGAAAATAAATTCTTTGACAAACCAGTATCCTATATAGACGAAACTGGCCCCTAGAAAACCTTCAGGTAAAGTTTTATTGCTCCTGGACGGTCACTTCACTCACTTTGATTCCGTAGAAATGCTAGAGTTTGCCATAAACCACAGAATTGTACACCAAACCACCCTTCACACTATTCAACACCACTCTATAGGGCAGTTTCCAAATCTCTAAAAACCTTCTTCTGTGAATCATACACAATATGGCGAAATCTTAGACGTCGTATTACGAGACTTCAATTTGGTAGTCATTTTGGCGTTCAAAGCCACAGGCGCGTTTCCCCAAAATCGACCAGCGATACCTGAATATGCATTATCTTTGCAAGAACATTAAAACCAACTAACTGTTACTAATAGACTCGTAACTCCGGCATCAATAATCAACCCTTTTCAAACTTCCCGACTGTCACTTGTTCAACAGATACCAACTCGTCCAGCACATATCAAAACTCACAAAAAGTATTCTATGACTCAAGGTAACCCAGCACTTCAAAAGAATCTGAAACATCTCAAGAAATATCATCAAAAATATTACTCGATCCAAGTCCCATTCCATTCAGTAAAGAAGCAGATTGAGTTAAAAAGCGATCTGAATAGATTGACGTTTTACTCACATCTGCTGAACATGTACAAAAATATTACCAAAAAGAAAAACAGAAACCACTGAAAAAAAAATAACGAAAAGAAAATCGAGAAACATGACAAAAGAAGTAGGAAGAAAAAAATGGCCAGAAGAAACTATTGAATCAATATCCAGCAATGAAGATAAGTTGATTTTTGACAGAGGTGAATCTGATTTCGATGGGTGCAATGACGAACTCGACTCTAAAAACGCTTGCAAAAGATGTGGCGAGAACTATTATCGAACTGAAAAGACTAAAGACTGGATCCTGTGTGAGTTTTGCTCAAAGTGGTGGTACAAAAACTGCACAGAATACCCTAATATGTGCCATCTTTGCGGCCACAAGGGATTATCATTGAAAAACATACAAATAGTAAAAAAAGGCAAAGGCATGGATAAATAGACCCAGAAATAAGTATGGTCATCATTCCCACAGTACCATGGCTATCTCCACCTGATACTCTGGAAGATATGGCCGATGGAGTTTTTTTCAAATATTATTTATTTGCCAATTATTTCTTTTTATAACTTTGTTCAAATGTATAATAAGTACTAAATAAAGAAATATTGTCATGAAAAGTTATTCGCATTTTCCACCAAGACCATCTCTATCTGACTCACCCTGTTAGTTTCATTAGGTACAACGGAGAAAATATTTTTTTGAAAAACATTTTCAAAAGGGAATTTAATTGATTCTTGGAACTGCCAGTAGAAAAGGTTGTTGATTTTAAAGACCAATATTTATTGTGTTTCCAGTGACGGCCTTAACCATTCTAAGGCTCCAGGCGTTAGATTTTTATTAGGCCCTTGTCTATTGGTGAACGTAGGTAAATTAAGAAAAGATATTATTGATGAGTGATAAAAGGTGAAATTCGTGGAAAGAAACATTTATATAGAAATCAGGGGAACTCTAGGTAACTTCTAAGCATGATCTACACATCTTATAAGAGCGCCATCTCTGGGTTAGTCTCGGGACTTATTGATCCATGTAGTATTCTCTATGGCTGAGATTGAATCAAATAAGCGTATCAATGTTTTTACGTACTTCCATCGTGATATAGGTAAATTTGTCTCTTACGGTGACAACCAATCCAGAAATCTACACAGCCACCGTAAGGTCTCCTTTGGGATCTTCTGACCACGAACTCATTTCAGTGTTGATTGAATTACCGATAAATGTTGGGGAACGATCTAAGCCACGCAAAGTTTGACATTACAGATCAGCTGAATAGAAGGATCTTCAAGACCATTTCCGAAATTTCCCCTGACAAGATTTTTGTTTCAGGTCTAGAGATGCATCTACTTGTGCTTCTGAAGTCATGGAAGTTATTCTATCATCCATGGATGCATATATTCCTTTTTCAATGAAACGACCTTCTAACGGCAAACCTTGGTTCAACAAAAATTGCAAACAAGCTGTATCCTCCAAAAATCCCACCTACTGGCAGTGGCGCAAAAATTCCAGTGCCGAAAACCGAACTAGTTTTGCTAATGCTCGCAACAGCTGCAAACTAAGAATGAATGGAAGCAAAAAACTTCATAATCAGAGAATTAGAAATAAACTGTTTGCTATTCTCAACGGGTCTAGATCCCTCAGGTTTGTAGCTAAAGCTATTAATCAGAACTTAACAAAATCTACAATTCCACCACTAACACAAGCGGATGGTTCAATTACAACAGCAGCCATAGAAAAAGCAAATGTACTAACCGAACAATTGGCGTCTCACTCCACAGTCGTTTTTCTGGTAAAGGTACTACCCACTATTTCCACACTAGAAACCACAATGCCGGAAATTACTTTTCGACAGCGTCTAGTCAGGAGAATTTTGAAACAGCTCAATATCAACAAGGCATCTGGTCCTGATGAAGAGCCCGTCATCGTACCCAAAAAGTGAGCAAATGAATTCGCGCCAATATTTTGCAGACTTCTCAACCTGACTTACACGAAGGAGATTTTTCCTTTTTGTTGGGTGATTGCTCGCGTTCAGCCTATTCTCAAAAAGAGCAAGAAAACTCTTCCAAATAATTATACACCAGTCGCTTTGCTATCAGTGATATCAAAAACCATGGAGAAAGCCGTACCATATCGTCATATTGAAGGCGTCAACATCTTGAGAGGTAATCAATATGGCTTTCAGAAATAAAGATCAACAGGCGATCTTCTATCGTATGTCACCCATATTTGGAATAACGCAATCAAGAACAGTTGCGCTTGATATTTCTAAGGCCTTTGACCGTGTGTGGCATGAGGGTTTGCTGGCCAAACTTCGATGCTATGACTTTTCAGATCAATTTTTTGTATGGCTCTTCAGCCTCCTGAAAAACGTTCCCTGCAAGTGGCCGTCAATGGATATCTCTCGAATACTTTTACCATCCACGCTGGTGTTCCCCTGGGATCCATATTGTCTCCGACCTTCTTTTCATAGTATATCACTACATTTGGATTCTAGGACATTGGCTGCGGATATATCTCCAGCGATTCAAATCCAATGTGAATCACTACTTTCGCACAGGCACCGCTCTAAGAGCGCCTCAAGGATTTTCCTGTAGTGCTTGTATTTTGTTCTTGAAAAAAACTGCATAGAAAATGTGATTTTCATTTAACTCAATATTCATATGAAAGTAGTTATTTGAAAAGTACTCTTTCTTTCGTATGGTTCAATGTTCATGTGAAAGTGCTTGTTTAGGGAGATCTTTTTCTCAGTTTCTATCTAAAAGTAAGTTTTTTGCAAGATTACTGTTGAGAGTTCATTTTGAAAGTTTTCCACAAAAAGCCTTTGTCACAAAACTGATCCATTTCAATTTGAATATAAAATGTATATGTTACAAGTTCCGACTTCACTAAATATTTAAAATTATTGGAAAAACTATCACCGGATCAACGTATTCGGATGAGTTAGTTAAAAGAGAAAAAGCGAAAATAAATAAGCAGTGAATAAAATATTCAAAACACTAAGAAACGCGATGCGTCGAAATTATAGTGTGAGAGAAATGATGTCATTTTATCTTCAAATTTAGTTATCTCAACATATCACACTAATTAACCATAGTTGATATTTCTTTCTCATAGAAACTTATTTTTTCTTTGTTCTATTCAAAACATTAGAACAGAAACAAATGTCAAAATAACTGTCAATTTTTTCTACTAAGACATAGCGAGATTGCCATAGTGAGGCCTCGGGTGTTGACCTGCTTGCTACACCCTAAGGCCCGCCTTGTATATTCCCAAAAATAATTGTAGCTTTTCTCAGGAAAAATGTAAATACGTGATGAACTTTGTTTTTCAAATTTTCCTCATTTTCTTGTTGCTGTAGTGTTTATGAGAGATTATAAGGAAAATGAACTGTTAAGAATTGCATTCCATAGATATTTCGAAGATCAATACCTGGACTGAGAAACCTAATTGAACAAAAGCAACAAGATAAATGTAATGGAAAATAAAAACAGATGAAGTTACTACAAAAAAATA